TTTTTTTTTGTTTTATTTTTTTGTTTTTTTTTTTGTTTTTTTTTTTTTTTTTTAATTTTTTTTTATTTTTTTTTTTTTTTTGATTTTGAACCAGGAATTATCTTCCATCGTTTCTTCCTTCAATGTTCGTGTTTTTTCTATATATATATATTTTTTTTTTTTGGTCTGGTTTCACGATGGGACTCAAATATTCCCGATATGATCTTTAAGACTAAGGAATAAAGGAAGGAGGAATGGAAGGAAATGGACATTACGAATATGTAGCCAGGGTTTGAGGCAGACTGTCTGGCAGTGCGCCTCTCTGGACAAAAAAAACAACAAAAAACAAAACAAAACAGCCGAGTTCCGATGTGTTTAAGTGAGTGTTAAGTTTTAAAATAAATTTGTGTATTATATAATATTTTCAACGATAACAGATCCTATAGGGGCTTTAAATACGGATTCCAATTAAATAGATTATTCATAAATCATAATCTTTACTATCAGATGTCTCCTGGAGAAATGCTACAAATACACCAATCAACAGACACCCACTATATGTAGACCACAAAACTGATTATGATAGCGTAGGCAGGAAATATTTTGTAAGATGCTCTACGGCAGGGGTGTCAAACTCAATCGCTTAGGTCTTGAGTCTAATGGTACCCGGGTGCGAATGGCGGCGCTGTGGGTCTGGGTCCATTTTGACTCAGTGCTATTCGGATCCAGATGTCATTTGTGGTAGTTTATTTTAGTTAAACTGAAGAATTAAGTTTACAAACATATAGTCCATTCAATTATCTTTCATTTGATACGTCATTTTGTCTTACACAAACACAACAATACAATTTTAAATAGTTTTTTAATCCCAACCTCTCACTTCTGGTACCCGGGTACGAATAGCCGCTTCGTTATTATCTTACTATTTTGGAAGTTCCATGGTAACCGTGACTGCGATACTATTATTTATATTTGCAGATTTGAGGGGAGGGAATTCGTCATACGTTTGCAAAACTTTTCTTTAATTTATTTTTATTGTGTAGCGTCCCTTGTGTTGGAACCATTAAAAACAATTCCTATTCGTTACATTTCCCTCGAAGATACTTGAATTTATTTAAACTATTTAAACTGCTGCGAGCTGAGTTGGTTTCTGAGCGCCCTCCCCCCCCCCACTTTCCACGGTTCCCCCACTATTTGTGTGGTGTGTGTATTTTCCTTGCTTTATTAAATTAAGTAAATTTAGAATTCTACATAGTTCAGGATTCTTGTAACAAATTATAGTTAGGGAAATTCCTGCCTACTTGTATCCTTGATTTTCTTCTGATTGTATCCTAGTGTCTCATTTTTTTATTTTACTTAGTTTACATGTTTTTAATAATCGTAAAGCGCTTAGAGCTTTAATGTAAGCGCTATATAAAAAATGCCTAAATACATAAATAAATAAATCCAAAAGGATCCGGAAAATATTGTTTTAATATATTTTCAACATTTTTTTGTTTATATTTATATTTTGATTTCTTTAATAAATGGTTAATGAAAGAATATCCGAAAAAATAATCCGGGCTGAGGATGTCCACAGGAGCTTAAGTGGAAAGTTACAGAGCGAAATATCAGGAAGTTTATAATAATTGTAAAAGCAAAAAGGCGATACTTAAAAGTCGAGAAAAGTATTAAATTGATTCATACATTGATAAGTTACGATACCGAGCTTAAAAAGGGGGTGGGGGGTGCTTGGGGGAGGGCCTCATGAGCTTTAAGCTCGACGGCCCGCTGACGCCATTTCTTAATGGGACATTTCAGTTTCAGTGAATGTGTACCTCTGTCATTTTACCTTGATTTGATGTATGAGAGGTCCACCATCACAGTGAATGTGCAACTCCGTCATTCTACCTTGATTTATAATGTGGAAGGTCCACCATCACGGTGAATGTGTACCTCCACCATTCTACCTTGATTTATTGTGTGAAAGGTCCACCATCACAGTGAATGTGTACCTCTACCATTCTACCTTGATTTGATTTATGAGAGGTCCACCATCACAGTGAATGTGTACCTCTGCCACTCTACCTTGATTTATAATGTGGAAGGTCCACGATCACGGTGAACTCATTAGCAATCTTTAATTTATACCCCCCCCAAAAAAAAAAAAATATATTTATAAAGAGTCATCCACGGTCATCGAAGTCGACTCCTGAGCATGCAAAACTGTAAATCCAGAAAAAAAAACACCAGAAATTTCAGAAATATTTTGTCAATCAAGTGTCCGTCTCACGGGATGTGTCAGAAAGTGTAATAAATAAATAAATAATTAATTCCCCTGTCTCCCCAGATATTTGTGGGTTTAGCTGTCTATAATAACTTTTCTGCGGGTTCACTTGTCCGTTGGTTCACTTGTCCAGTGTTTGGAAGTCTTATGGCGAGTTGTCCTGGATTAACTTGTCCGGCATTCATTTGTCCGATCACAGCAGCGGTCCCACACCACAAAGGCCATGCAGCAGTAACGATATGAAATCTGCCTCCAAGAGGTACCAGCGTAAACCGATACACGGGGGAAGCCGCGGTGATTGCGTCGCTGCTCGCGCTCTCCTAAACAGAAACATGGCAACGCCGTGGAGACCACGTTGCTCCCTCCATGCCTCGTGCTCATAAATTACGTCAGTGTATCAGAGAATGACTTCGGTAATCAGCTGACCGGGGAAACAGGGCCTGGACAAAAGATGAGATGCGCGAGACCCGACTACGTTATAGAATTCCACCATCATCAGGGAGCAACCAGTCAGTGTCCAAGCAGTTGGTTGGATTGTCACGTGTCCTCGTCATGAGCGGACCAGGGATTATGTAACGAGATGTAAACGAGAGACATGGCGGGTGCACGTGATCTTGACGCACAAAGAACAGCTAGTGATGAAGAAGAATGCCTTATGGAACTTATTGGCTAAGCAGGGATCAGTGCCTCCCGGTGCGGGTCGAGAGCTGTGCCGCCAACTTGCCTACCACTCAATTCAAACACACGCACGCAAACTCTTCAGTTGGCCGAAAATGCCGCCCCTCGATGTAAAGAAACAAAATGCCGCCCCTCGATGTAAAGAAACAAAATGCCGCCCCTCGATGTAAAGAAACAAAATGCCGCCCCTCGATGTGAAGAAACAAAATGCCGCCCCTCGATGTAAAGAAACAAAAATGCCGCCTGCCTGGTTCCCACGCAAGTGGATTGTCTTTTTCTGGGCAGTTTTGAGTCCTCTCATAGTAGGCAAATAAGTTGTTAAAATGGTCTGTGGTTGGTCAGCTCTAGTTTGATAGGAGTGACTTAATTATTTGGATGACACCTGAGTTGACTCTGATTTGTGCTGAGTAAAATGAGAGACAGTCTTTGTGATTTTATGTTACTGGGACGGAATCGTATTGCTTTATTAGTAATTGATTGATTGGATATTTATATCACGCTGGTATCCATGCTACTTTAGCATGCTCACTGTGCTCTGGTGGTCTTAAATATGTTTAAATAAGAAAAGCCTTTAAATGTTTCTTAAATGATTTTTTATAATTTTCTAATCGCCTTAAAGATTGAGGCAAACTGTTCCAGAATTGAGGCGCTAATGCATCAAAAGAGGGAACTCCGTAAGACATTTTTTTCTGTGTTCATCCACACTAGAAATTTTCAGTAAAGTAATCTTCGCTGTTGCCATTTAATGATTTATTTCGTTACCTTCCAGCTTTTCGCCTCTTTGTAAAATCACCAACTATTTATTGACATCAAACTCGTCAAAAATTTACACCAAAAAAAAAAAAATAATAAAAAAAATGATAATAATTATAAATTGAAAACTTGATTAAAAGTTTTAACAAATACTGTCCCTACATAACCCTTAGCCCCAAAAATCTAGACGCGTTACGTCCGTAATGGATGCAAGGCCGTGTGAAGGAAAAGCGGCGCCCTGGCCGCCTTGGGGGAAGCCTAAAACTACAGCCTCTAAATGCGCCTCCTGATATTGACGCCCCTGGCGAGTGCCACCTTTACACGGCCCTGCACGGATGGCCTACAGATTTCAAGATGCCTAGAACGTGATATACTTAAATATTTAAACTTATCTAAACACACCACTAAAAGAAATATCGGACAAAGTAGATCAAGTTATACAAATCTAAATGATCCAATTGGGCTACTTTTATAATGTATCTTTGAAGACAGAAGAGTTCTCCTGGATTTCTGATGGTAAATTCAATTGTTAAATGGTTGCTGTACTGTATTACTCTATAGTCGAACAAAAAGACGTATTTTACTTTAAAATACGTTTAATAATGTAGTTCAATCAAAGACCTTAATTTATATCACTAGAAATAATAAATCGTGCTTAAATAAGGGATTACGCTAACAATTGTTAATAGTGCCTATTTTAACTATTTATAGTAAATGGCAAAAAATCATAATCATAATCATAGTCATAGTCATAGTGAAAGTGAAAGTCAACCAAGAAATGAATCCACGTCTGAAGCAACATCCACCAACAGATCAAAGCCAACGCACATGAAGTAAGTTACTCGAGTTAATCAGTTAGTATCATTAAGTATTTAACTAATTAAGTTGAACCTGTACTGTGCTTGGCACTTCAATACCGTACTGTGCCAACTTAGTCTCAGTCTTAAACTTAAGTGCTTACCTATCTAATATTAAAACTTAATACTAATACTAATTATAACTAATACTATACTAACTAATAATAGGCCTAAATTTAAATGAAAATGATAAATTTTTTATTTTTATTGTTTATGACTTATGAGTTTTTTGTGTAATGAGTATGAAAAAGTTATGGTTTATACTGATATGAATTGCATGTCTTTAGTGAGTGGCCGTTATTCTTTATTTGTTATAATCAAATTCATTTATTTAAATTTATTATTTACCAAATTCACTTACATTTATCACATTTATTTTGATCAAATTCAGTTTCCAATATTCATTATTCACAAGGTCATAAATTTCTTGCATCAGTAAGTCGTAAGCCATAAATAGAGCTTTAACTTTGCTGACAAAAAAGTGATTGGATTTGGAGTGTCGAATATGTCTTCTTCTATATCTTAAGGGTCCACGATCAATGTATTGATCATTCAGAATTCTGGCTCCTGGGTATGTAGACGGGATTTGCAAAGTTTCTGTGCCTGGTATTGAAGAGGATATTTCACTGGTTTCAAGGGCTACACAGCTAGGGTATCAGGAATTGGGGGTTGGAAGGCCTGAGACTAAAGATACAAATGTGTTGTCACCTCAACTGTTCCTTTTGTAAGGTTGTTCCAGACCCTAAATGGCTTTAGCAGGAATGAGTAGTTCCTTAAAATTTAACTGCGTTCTTGCTGTTATGAGTATGAGCTGGAACTGCCTGTCATGGCCTCCTCACTATGTAGGTGGGAGAGGGATGAGTTTCTGTTTTCATCATTGAAAGCCTGGATAATCATCTTTTTTCAATCACAGAAATTTGGGAATTATTTACTAAGGCTACATAAGGCCAAATTCTGACACAAAAAATGGTATAACTTTTTTTCAAATTAAGATAGAAAAATAAAGTTGGTATCAACGGAAAGGAAATACTGAGTCATTAATATATAGCAACTTTGAAATTTTTAGTGACGTACCCGGTACCTACCTTAATGCCAATAATGGCCATATTCATAAAACAAAATTTAAAGAAAAACAACTCAAGCTAAAATCGCAGACTTTTACTTTACTTTTAGTCTTTATACTAAAACATAACTTGACATAAGTTGAATTAGTAGTACAGTAGGTCTAGGGCCTAGGCCTTTATTTTATTTTTAATCTTAAAAAGTAAGCAAAAACACTAAGTCCTAATAAATAATTTAAGTAGTTGTTATAAAGGAGGGGCTCACCAAACTTAACTATTTCCTCCATCCACCATCCCTATAACTCACAAGGTTAAGGCTCTAATGTCTTAGTGATATTATTTTAAAAAATAATGGTAGTCTTTAGTCAGTCCCCAGCAGCCCAGTTCTGTTCTGCCTTTGCTTCTAGTTCTAGATGTTCAAAAGCTGTCTCATCTCCAAATTTTGTGTGCAGATCTTATAAAAAATAACACTGCAAAAAATAATGTCATTGATTAAACTATGCCGAGTACAATCCGAAATGTTTGACAACCTCAAATACTTTTTTATATCTTCTGTTTTTGTTTTAGCCACAAGCAATGGAAAGCATATCTGAAGAAAATGAAGAGGAAGGAGAAGCGAATAGCTGCAGCCAAAGAAAGAGAATCCAACCAAACAAAAGGTCAGATCATTTTTTTGTTCCATTAACTTAATCATAGTAATCATATTAAAATAGCTCTTTTTTAAAGATCGCTAACAAAAAAATGAATCAAAACATCATGATCTATCTTATCTTTTTTATGTGAAGCACTGCGGTACTGCGGTATATAAAACGCTATAAATAGTAATAATATTAATTTAATTATAAATGAGTTTGCAATCATTTAAACGCATTGCACAAAATTTTCCTAACTTCATATTAAAACTCTTTTAATGCTCTTCATGAAATTACAGGATGTTATTTAATTTCTTCCCCACTATTTTACATATCAAATCTTTTTGTTTTGGTCTTCATTTAGATGAAAGCGATACTCTAGATTCTAATTCAGAAGAAGAGAGGGAGAGAGAGCGAGAAGAAGTAGAGCGACAACGACAACACCAGCTGTGGCTGGAACGTGAACGTCTAGCTGAGGCTGCATTCAAGGCTAAAAAGGAGTGGGAAGAAAAGGAGAAGAAGAGAAAGGAAGAAATTGAAGTGAGGACTTAATAGGTTTTAGATTAAGAAGAATTTTTTTGCTTTCTTCTTTTTTTATTATTTTACTAAAATTTTTAATTATTACAAATGGGTTTAAATGCTGCTACCGGAAATTTGTTCAATGGAAAAATTGTTTGAATGGAAGTTTGTTCAAAAGGAAATTATGGGGGGAAAGAAAACCAAAAATTTTCTTAATTGCAAATCATTTCCTTATAAAAGCATTAGCTAAAAATAAATAAAAAATCTCTTTTTAGTAAATTTAATTTCGAATAAACATCCGATTGAACAAATTTCTATTTAACAAATTTCTCTGTATCGTTATACATATGTAGTTGAAATTCTGAATTGAGCCAGAATTAAGATGGTTGATATTCTTATAGTAGTAATTAAGGTTATTTGTTTTTTACCCTACATCGCTATGTCCAGATATACATACAATGTAGAAAATTATGTGGTTTGTTTGCCTTCAATATTTGTTGTTACAAATGTATGATTCAGTTAAATATTTATATATTATATCAGGCCTGCACAACATATGGCCCGCCAGCAACCATTTTGCGGCCCGCAAAGCAAGGAAATATTCTTTATTCTTATTATTTTCTTAATGGCTTTCCCCCCTGTCCTATTTTCTTTTTGCCCGCACAAGTTTTTCATTAAGTATTGCGGCCCGCCTTACATTTTCAGTTGTGCAGGCCTGTATTATATGATAATTAATTTTTTTTTTTTTTGTGAATCAAACTGTTACAGAGAAAAATTAAAGAAGAATGGGAGGAAAGAGAGCGAAAAGAGAAGGAAGAAAAAGAAGAAATTGAAAAAAAAGATCAAGAAAAGCGTTTGAAGCAGGTGATGCTATTGGATGGTTTGATCAAATTATATCCTAGACTGAAAGTGGTTTATTATTGTTATATCATAAACTTGAAGTGGTTTATCATAGTTATGTCTCAGACATAAAAGTCGTGATTAATGGGTGTCAAAACTAAATGATATTTCATAGGAAAGTAGTGTTGAGAAAATGTATGAAATTATAAACAAAATTTACAAAATCAGTTTTATTATTAAATGCATTGTTTCTAATTTCATCATTGGCTAGTTTGATAAGACCACTCATCAACATGATTTTGGCCAATATAAATGTAAACAATGTTGACTAAATGCTGTCAAATTCATATTGCTTTTGCTTTAAACTATGATTAACATATTGGATATGAGGGAAAATCCAGTTGGTTTTAAATAATTGCGTATTGAATAGAAGAAAATGAAGATGAGTGTACCTAAAATTCCTTAACTGATTTCACTTGTCTTGGCCTGAGGTATTTTACGCATCAAGCTATGCTGTATCTTTTAAACAAAGGTTTATTTATTTGCTATACTTTGATGGAACATAACCTTATTTATTTGATATTGTTTACAATTTTAATCCTTACAATCAATCATGACTAACTTAACCCAGTCTCTAGACGACATGAACTGATTCAATTGCATCAAGTTTTCATACTCATATGCCTTGTTGGGTTTTTAGGACAAGCTGTTGAAGGAAGCTACGGCCAATGAAAACTCAGTAAGAACTAATGCTTATTTAAAAAAAAAAAATTATTATTTTTTTGTGTGAACTTTGTTATGCCAGTCTTTAATTTTAGATACAATTTTATTCATAGAAGTTGTTTGTTTGTTAGCATTGCATCTATTGTTAGCAGACTCTAATTTTAATAAGTTGTAAACAATGTTCGTTGAGTCATTGAGTGGTAGCTTTGGTATTTATGTTTACAAATAAATCATTTTTATGAGGCCTTATTTGTCTCAATTACTTTGATAGATTTTCAAGTTATAAATATTATAAGATTAAATATGCACGATTTATTTTTATGGTACCGATACTTTAGGAATGATACATCTAATTTAAGGAATGATACATCTAATTTAATATGTTATTTTTATACCATAAATTTTCTTTTCACATTGTCCAACACAATAAATGGTTTTGTTAATTGGGATGGTTACTCTTGAAACTATTTTTGTTTGGTAGGTTGCCTGGCATAATCCTATAGCACCAGTCCAGTATGGTAAGGAGCGCCCAATTGACCACTGTCCCTTTTTTGTTAAAACTGCAGCATGCCGATTTGGAGACCAGTGAGCATTATTAACATATAATTAACATATCATTAATGGCTGGCTGTCTTGACATATGAGAGGCTATAGTTGAGATAAATGGAAATCTATAGATTTCTTAACAAATTTATATTTAAAGGTACAAAAAATTTATGAATACAATTAATGGATATGTGGTATGTGCTAATTGAGACAAAATTAGGATTACATGTACCTATAAGTGAAGATGTTGTTACTTCCCTTAGCTTGTTGGATTTAAAATGTATTTATTGATGATGAATATTAAAATAATTGCATTTATTACTAATAGATATGTTATATTTAGTAATAGTTTGGTAAAATATAAATAATACCGGTAACATCTATTAGTAATGGTAGATAAATAAGTTATAATTGTATCCGTTAATAATTAAATATGTCATCACTTAAAACAGTGGCTTAGCAGGGGAAATTTTCCCCAATTCCATGAAAATAAACTCTGCAGTTGGCAGAAAATGCTGCCCCTACATTTAAAGAAAATGTACTGCCAAGCGCCCCCCCCCCCCCTTTCCCCCCTCCTACATCACTCCTTAAGCAGCTGTAAAATTTCTGGACTCAGTCGAATAGTACTTAGAGTGATGACCTAGTCAAACAGTTACTAGAGGTATGACTTAGATGAACATACCTAAAGAGATGACCTAGTCAAACAGTACCTAGAGTGATGACCTATCCAAACATTTCTTTACCATGACTACCCAGATAGCAGTACAACTATTCTTATACCAAACATGTTCTCGAGCTTTCAGCTGGAGCAGTCCATAGTGGATAATAATGACACAGGTAAATATTAATGTACCGGGTATTCTTAATTCTTAATCTATCTTTCCATCACTTTTTATGTTTGCATAATATAGTACAGCATGGGTGGCCAACCCAAAAGTCTTTACTGGACACTTTTACTTCTAACTTTTATTAACTTTTTTGCTGCCCTAATGTTATTACACCTGATTAATAAAATAAATACCAATTAAATGGTGTATATAATAATTATTTGTATATTCTTGATGCACATAATGAAGTGCAAAATAAAAAAACTAGATGGAACTAAACTAATGTGATCTATGTTAATATTTTATCTCACTTAGCTTTTTAAATTTCTGTGTAAATTGAATGAAGAAAGAAGAAATTGGCCATGCTTGTAGTAGACTGTATTCATCAAGGCTGTGTGAAATAATTATTAAGATCAAGATATTTCTCAGCTTGTGTTTTATATTTGCCCCTACTTCTGGCATATGGAAATGTTTTGTCCCGTGTGTAAGAGATATTGTCTAAACATTGCTTTCAGATGTAAGCCTCGAGTATGATGACAATGAACTGTACCAAAGTTTCAAGGATTTTTATGAAGACACAGTACCAGAATTCAAGACAGTTGGGACTGTGGTCCAACTGAAAGTGTGTTGTAATTGTGAGCCGCACCTCCGTGGCAATGTCTATGTTCAGTACAAAAGGTTAGTTTCTGCCCCTTTTGGTCTTCTAGAGCAGGCCTGCACAACTCAAAATGTAAGGCGGGCCATAATACATTATGAAAAACTTGTTCGGGCCAAAAGAAAATAGGACAGGACTTGTGCGGGTCAAAAGAAAATAGGTCAGGGGGGAAGCTATTAAGAGAACAATTAGAATAAAGACATTTTCGTTATTTCGCGGGCCACATGTGGCCTGTATGTTCTAGAGGTTCAAAATCACATAAAGATTTACCTGCCCTTATTTTGATGTTTCTTGCTAGTGTGAGTTTTTCATTAAAATGTTCCAACCATTTGTTTTTCAAACAAATTTAAAAAAAAAAGGAAATAAGTATAGACCAGCATTTTTTTTTTAAACAGGGAGTCTGCTGCACAGAAGGCTTACGAAAAATTCAATGCCCGCTGGTACGGTGGCCGACAGCTCACTTGCATTTTTGTCAACATAGAATCATGGAAAGCTGCAATCTGTGGTAGGTTATGTTAGGGATAGCTTGAAAAATTTAATATGCTGGTAATAGATGAAACAGAACAATAATATAAATAAATAAATAACAACATTTTTCAAATAATACTTTCAGGACTTGCTTCAAAGAAGAGATGCCCCAAAGGGAAGTTCTGCAACTTTCTGCATGTGTTTCGTAATCCAAGAGGAGAGTTTGTTGATATGGACTTTGATCAGAATTATTCAGAGAGACATAAAAATAATATTGAAAACACTAACCATCCAATAAACAATTCAAAGCCAGAATCTGTGCGTTCAAGTCACATAAAGAGGCATTACAAATCTAATAGCAGATCACGGCGGTCAGGTTCCAAATCTTCCAGTAGGTCAAGGCCAAGATCTAGATCCAAATCGGTCATTAGGTCAAGGCAGCGTTCTAGATCTAAATCTGCCAGCAGGTCAAGGCGGCGGTCTAGATCCAAATCTACCAGCAGGTTAAGACAGCGGTCTAGATCCAAATCTGTCAGTAGGTCAAGGCGACATGCTAGATCCAAATCTGCCGGTAGGTCAAGGCGGCGGTCTAGATCCAAATCTACCAGCAGGTTAAGACAGCGGTCTAGATCCAAATCTGTCAGTATGTCAAGGCGACGGTCTAGATCCAAATCTGCCGGTAGGTCAAGGCGGCGGCCTAGATCCAAATCTACCAGCAGGTTAAGACAGCGGTCTAGATCCAAATCTGTCAGTAGGTCAAGACGACGGTCTAGATCAAAATCTGCTAGTAGGTCAAGGCAGTCTAGGTCCAAATCTGCTAGCAGGTCAAGAAAACATTCAAGATCAGATTCTCCCAGTAGATCAGAGCGTTCAAGATCCAAATCTGCCAGTAGGTCTAATTTCAGTCTTAACTCTCCATTAGCTAGCAGTTTGAAACATAGGTCACAATCCTTTTCACCTGAACAACCAACCAAAACAAACAAGAGGTCTAGATCTTGTAGTGCATCCCCGAAAAGATCTGTGTCACCAAGTGAGACATTCGGAAATAAGAGTTCAAGATCTGGGTCCTTAAGCAAATTTCCAAGATCTCAACAATCACCATCTTGCTCACCTAACACTAACAGATCTCTCCTTAATGTCAATATTAACAAATCACCATCACATAACTCTATTTCATCACAAAACAGAGGAGATTATTCACTGAGCAAAGAGCTAACAAAAAGGTCTAGATCACCATCACATAATAGAAGCATGTCATCATCATCATCTTGTGATGATTTTTCCAGTAGAGATATGGGGTCTGTTGGTCACAGAAAGAAAAGAAAATGCCACAAAAAGAAGAAAATCAGTAATGGTAGTGGCAAGTCGTCAGATTCAGAAGAGGAGAATTTTTACGAATATGTTGAGAAAACCAAAGAAACACTAATTCCAAAGTAAATTGCATTTTTTAAATTATTTTGGCTTTGTTAAATATCACTGTTGCTTTTTTGTTTTAAAAAAATAAGCTAATTATTTTTTTTAAATTTGAGATTTTATAATATTAATATATTTTGCATTTCGGTTAATTCTGATTTACCAGAGTATTCACTTGTGGGAAAAATCAATAAAAAACATATTTTGAAAACTGTTAAAAAAGTATGGTCCTATATTTGGTTGATTGAATAATGTAATTACTATTACTATGAACATTGTTTTTGTTTTTTTAATGTTGAAAATTTGAGATATTATTAAATTATGAATTCTGTTTAAATTTACTTTGTATTCTTCAAGTCTTTGATTCACTGATATTTTAAAATGTTTCTTTTTAGTTTAGTTTTATTGTTGATACTCTGCCAAGGAGCACATAGCAGATCCTCATGAACACCAGACACAGAAACATTGCAAATCCCCTCTACATGCATAGGAGCCAAAATGATCAATAAATTGATCGTGGACCCTTAATATATAGAAGAAGATTATAATTATAGCACTTTATGTAGTTGTGTATAGTTTTGTCCGACACAGTACTTTATGTAGTGGTGTATAGTTTTGTCTAATACATAGCACTTTATGTAGTGAGGATAGTTTATTCTGACACATAGCTCTTTATGTAGTGGTGGATAGTTTTGTCTGACACAGTACGTTGTGTGGTTGGGATAGTTTATTCTGACACATTGCACTTTATATACTGGTAGTAGAATTTGTGGAAAGTTTTGTCTGGAAAAACTCTCTAGTTTCAATGTCCAAAGATTAAATTTTTATTTCATTCTTTATCAAAGAGAGTGGTTCTTGATTAAATAATTTGATCTGTCATTTACCAGAACGAGAAACTGCTGTTTTAGAAGTTTGATCAAATGACTTTGTAACATCAGTGTCTCATTTACCCTGATAGCCTGAAACTATTTTCTAGATTTGACATGGATATTGGCTGTAGACCAATTTTTGCTATTCAAAGAGCACTGGGCTTTTAATGTGGCACACCCATTTGTTAAATTAATTGTGCTTTCCTAGGTGTGTTGAGTTTTTTGATGTACTGGTAGCTGAAAAATTGGTTGCATGCATCACAACGTAACCAACTTGTTTTGACGTAAGTGAAAACACCAAATGTGAGTAGATTAATTTTATTTATATTAGCTTTAGCAGATATTTTACAAGAAAACATTGAATGGAATGGCATTAACTGCTTAACCAGCAGATGAAAAGTGCACTTTTATTTTATAAACCACATGATGGTACAGACTTACATTTATTTGAACTAAATTGAACATTAAAATAAAAAAAATATCACAAAGTGTCATCCTTATTTTTAACTTAGTAGAATACAAACTACTGGAGTCATACTACAAAATGCAATAGGTCACCTATGTTTCCTCCTTACTAGTTGGCACATGTAATGTTAATTTGACACACATGCATGTGAACATTTTTAATACATGAGTGTAAGGGACTTCAGGTTCAAGTAATCAGCATTATCTACCAATGCCCTAAGAATACTAAGAATAGCCTAAGTGAGTCCTTCCTATGCCAATGTAATTTAACTTGAGCAAGTTGGAAGCCTCTTTCTTCAGTTAATTCCCATTACTTCACACTCACACTCTATTCAGTCTCATTCATTTAATTTTAAATCTTAAACATGTATAAAATTCTGCATTTGTACGGTACACATTAAAATAGACCCAATTTGTTTCTAAATTTCTAAAATTATGAACAAAGTTAGAAACAGACAGATGCCATATTTAACATTCAGAAAAAACATCTGTATTTCAATACAATTTTTCCTTGAGAAAATTTATTACAATTACAGTCAGTCTGGCCAAGTTAAGAATGACCATGTAATACAAATATAGGCATATATAAGAAATTGATTGTTAATCTAAAGTTATTTAACTTCTGGAACCAGCTCCCCTTCCATATACGTCATAGTGAAACCTCGTCCATTTTCAAAAAGTCCCTTAAAACTCATCTGTTTAGGTCCGCCTATGACCTGTGATGCACCCTCCTTGCCCTACCTAATTTTCTGTTTCGGTTTAATCCTGAAGTGTCAAAGTGTCCTCTTTTTATAGCCATTTTCATTGTTTCTATAGAATAGTAGTTACTATCCTAGTGTCTCATTTGTATTTACTTAGTTTACATGTTTTAATAACTGTAAAGCGCTTAGAGCTTTATGATAAGCGCTATATAAAAATGCCTAAATAAATAAAATAAATAAATTTGATTTAAAAAGTCTGATGGATCCGAGAGATAGCTTCAAATAATGGCCAGATGATGACAGCCTAAATGAAATTAGTTACATTAAAAAAACCAAAAAAACTAAATTCATCATATCATAAAAATTTTATGTCGCATAAAATATCTTGACAGGAAGGTATTCCTGGAGAGCTGTACGACTGTCAATGAGATTTCTGCCAGTCATGTGCCACTGCTTCCTACCATGAAACCAAAGTCCTCCAGGAAACTTTTGGGTTCCTCAGATTCCTGGGAAAAGAAATGTGAATTATGATTAACTTAGTTTTAAGTACCGTCAATATTCTAAGCAAAAATAAAATATTCCATTTTAAAAATGTGCATTTTCAGAATAAGAGTTTTTGTTTAAATATGTTAAAAATAACTATGTAAATAAAAACAAAAATAGTTGCTTTTATGTCTGACCCATGAAAAATTCTGATAGCCCTTCAAATATTTAAATTTTGGAGCTGCAACCATCTAATAAAATGAATCAATTATTGAACATTTATAACTTTCTGTAAAATATGTTAACAAAAAAAAACAACAAAAAAAGTTGTGTCCCTTTACAAAAACAACTTTTTAAGAGTTAAAAAAACAAACTAGCTTTAAAATATTGTGTATAGAATTATGAAATTTAAATGACAGACACACAAGAATGAAATGTTAAATATAAATTGAGTAACCTAAATTAAAATCTTCATGCTCATATTTGCATAATGCAAAAAATGACTTCTCTGGAAGACATGCTCCATGTAGTAGAGGGTTACTCTCATGCAAAGATCCTTGCCCATAGAAAATGTAATTATCAGGGAAGTGGTAAAACTTAACGGTGAATGGTGATGTACGTGCAATAAGTTTTTGGAGTAGGTCATTCATGGTCAAAGAACCATTGCTTTTAATAATAAATACATTTGACATAACTTGAGAATTTGTTGAGTTTTGAAGTGAAAAAACAGTTTTTCAAAGAGTTCACTACAAAATTTGATATTTGGTGAACACACTTTATGGGAAATATGTATTGTCAGATGGATTATTTTAATTTTTTTTAGAACTTATTTTTTGTTCAGGTTCTTAATGCTAAGATAAGCTAATTATAATGAGTCTCACTAGTAAAGTACACTTAAAGGACATGAAAAATTGAGTCTAACAAATCAAAGATACATTGATGAATGAACAGTACTTACCTATGAATCCTTCATTTAGTCTATATACCTTAGTCTTAATTTTTATACCTTACTAAACATCAATCAAACTTACCATGGGTAAGATATAAATAGATTGCATATTTCAAGCCATTCATAGGAAACACATGCAGCTGTAAAGCAGGGCATGTGATACACCTGCTGTAAAGCAGGGCATGTGATACACCTCTTTTGTATGACCAGTTTTTAAAATTCAGTTGAAGCCATCAGTGTTTCATCAAGATTTTTGACTATTTATAGAACTTTTTTTTTTTGCTTTCTTAATTTTAAAAAAAAATATGTATATTGTCATGAGTACCGGGTGGTTCATTTTTGTGTGGCCAGATGGGGTATTTTATAAAATAAATACATTTTTATCCAGTTAATTCTGTTTGGGCCGAACAGCAATTTACATGGTTCATTTTTATGTGGCCAGATGGGGGTATTTTATAAAATAAATACATTTTTATCCAGTTAATTCTGTTTGGACCGAACAGCAATTTACATGGTTCATTTTTGTGTGGCCAGATGGGGGTATTTTATAAAATAAATACATTTTTATCCAGTTAATTCTGTTTGGACCGAACAGCAATTTACATAAGATTCATTAGCAATGAAAAAATGGTTTATGTTTTTGCATAGGAATCTTAAAAGACGTCTTGAATGCTCAGTTGGCATTCTTAAGATTTTGTAGCCTATGTAGTGGTGTAGAAAGGGGATATGGGGGGGGGGGGGGGGGGGGGGGGGGGTCCTCCCCTGGGCAGCTCTTATTTCTCTTTAATTGGAGGGGTGGCATCTTTGGCCAACTGCAGAGATTTTTTGGCAGGAGGCGGCAGCAAAAAACTAGGAGAGATGCCAACCCCAGCTGCTCCTATGTCCTCAATACTGACCTATACTCAATGTTCTCTTTATTGGGACTGGCTTTGTCTGACTTCAGGAGAAAAGTACTTCTTTGACATACTCTTAACATTTCTTTTTAACTAGATCAGTTCTACTCTATTTTTAAAAATCATTACAGCCAGTAATTTTTTGTTTGCTGTAGTTGTAATTGATTTTGGTCTATTAATAATAAATATGAACAATTACAAAAACCTGTCCATTCATTCTAGTTTTAGTGTTTTAACTAACACTAACGTGCACAAAATAAAACTGGGGGCCACCACCTAATAAATGAAAGCAGTTTCTAACAAACTGAGATAAATCTAAATGTGGACGTTTTTTTTCTTCAGAAGAAAAATTTTTTTTTTGTAAAGGCAAGGTTTCAAATTACCGTATTTATTGGCGCACCTCAATTTAAGAAGGAAATTTCAGGGGAAAAAACTCAACATTATATCGGCGTATAACACGCACACATGATTTGCCCCCTATTTTCGGGGAGTAAAAGCGCGTGTTATACACCAATAAATACGGTATTTAAAACAAAAGGATGTTTTGATGGGAGACTTTGTGATGAAAGTTGTTTTTCATGCAAATAAAAAGTAAAAACTATAACATATATATATATAACTGCATACAGGTATTCAAATAAATCCTTCCCATGTCTTTGAAAATAAAAATTCTATTCAAAGAACAAGTAAAAGATCCTACTCTGATGGTTAGTGATACTAAGTAAATAAGTTTGCGACTGTCTGCTTGAAAACCTCAAGAGAAAAGAACTTTAACGCAGTAATTAAGAGATTTCTGGCATTGACATGACACAGAATTTAAGTGATAATCTTGCGGCAAAGTAATAAGGTCAGAACTAATGAGTGAGGAAAAGATCATGTAGACAACATCAAGAAATAAATTCAATTCTCCAAGGCAATATTAATTTTTTTAAAAACCCCCAAAAAACAACCTTTCCAATAAGTAAATGTGTTGTCTGTGTTTAACTAAGGCTGATAAACGATCTATAAAGTATTGCCAGTTTCACTTTTATACAGATAAGCTAAACAGGCTTTAGGAGATAAACAATGAATTTTACAGGAATGTTAGCTTCTGTTTTCACAAATTTGATAAATAAAAAATAGATATACAAAGATGACTTTGGGAGACTTTTTCCTTAACTGTTGATCAAAGTTACACCACAGGCCCCAGCTTGATCTTTAAAGCCTGATCACTGATAGCAAATTAAGCTGTTTTATAAAGTGGGGAGGCAGCAGCAATATTAATCAACAAATGAAGCACTAGCAACATGCTGACTGTGAACTGAGTGGACAACACATGGAAAGTAACTTAGGCAATGAATTGATAGAAATGTTTAAAAACTGGTAACTACTGCACATATTTTCTTTTAATTTTATGTGTATCAACATTCAGTTTATCTTGGACAAAGTTAACAGAACAAATATTTTGAATACAAATAAAGCATAAGATGGGTTTATTCATCAACAGAAAACCTTGGATTTGTCAAATTGACATTACACATTACATGTCACAAGTTTAATAATATTTTCTATATAACAATAAGTTGGAATGATGCAGGAATAAAACAATGTTTAATCAAATATGCAGACTGAACAGAAACTGGAGCTTAGCTTTAAAGGAAAATAAATTGTGTAGGCTGCAGTAATTATATATTTTAATTAAATTAATTTAAATTGGAAACAAGAGGACTAATAAAAACCAAAGACATCTCTTCATACTCATGGATACATATTTTAAATTGATAGAATGTTTAAATGTGGAAATACTGAGGTGATTTTGTTTGGACTAAGAGCCAAGTAGATGTTTTTTTGTGGTTAGTGGTAAGGCCTTTTCCTCCTGAGATATCCAAGATTTGGCTTAAAATTAAATATAATTCAAATATATATATATTTAATGAGAAATTGAATTTAAATTAGCAGTGCTCCAACTCTATTGGTTCTTTAAAATTCAATCGCCTCCAAAATTAAGTGTCCACCTCTTACACCACATATAAAAAAAATTAAAAAATTTAAGTCATGGAATTAAAAAAACAAAGTTCATAATGAAAATCTCCAGTAGCAAAAACAAAGTCAATTATAAAATAAATTGAATATAAAAAATGAATAAAGTCTTAAATCAACAGCTCATATTAAAAAAAAAGACAAATTTACACTTGCGAAAAATGTCATTCTTGGCTCAACTACTAGACACTACTCGCTCATCAGTGAACTGTCACTTTAAATATGATACATTAATGCCACAAGATGTTCTGTATCTACATCCAGATTTCCAATTTTATAATTAGTTTTAACATTTTCTCAGCCTAGCAGAAGCAAAACCAAGTTTTAAACCAAGATCAGCTGAAAACACAACACAAATATCCCCCACAAAGCAATTAAAGTTAATAACCTACTACCACTATCAATGAATGATGGTTTCTCCCAACTTAAACAGATTTTACAAATAATTGTTAATGTCACCACACAAAACAAAAAGCTAAAGGCAGAGCATGAAACTAAGAGAAATTTACAGTCGAACATTCGCATTATAATTTTATTGGGAGATATCAAAGCTAAAATTAAGACTAACTTGTATGTATTTTTTGTATCATTATTAATGAGCCGCTCAATGAGCAATAAAGAAGTCCAGTGAAATATGAATTGAGGCAAACAGAGAGACTTTAAGGACTATTGACAGTATTTCAAATGGAATTCTACTGCAATTATTCATTTATAATTTGACTTATGCTAGTCTTTTTATGCTAGGACTTTTATTACACAGCTCTTTAACTGAGATGTTGTTTTATTCACATGAACAGATTAATTTCATAAATATTCTCATCAGAGCTGCGGAGACATGAGTCTTTTCCCCAAGGTTAGGGTTCAAATATATGCCTAGTGTTTCAATGAATAAATGAATCATATGCTGGGTATGTTGTTAGTCTATCTAAATGAATGTCATCATATGTTGGGTATGTTGTTAGTCTATCTAAATGAATGTCTGAGTCCTACTTGGGACATGGTGTTAGATTAAACACATTTCAGAGTCATACACAGGACATGGTGTAGAGTCTAAATGTTTGATACAACACTCCACAGCTCTGATTAAAATGTACACAGAAATTATGTAACAAATGTTTGTCATGAAGTAACTTTGTAAACAATAAAATTACACACTATGTGCCATAATGGTTGATCCTACTGGAGTACAAAATGATTATGTATAAAAATAATTTTAGAGACCAAAAGGGTCATTAACACTGTAGCTGAAAGAAAGATTTTGTTATCCCCAGTTCTGAGTTTTAATGAAAATCCCCTATTTCTTGCAGCCGTCCATGGCTAAATAAATATCTGGTTAATGTTACAGTGACTTTATATCAATCAACTATTTTATCATTCAAGGCCCAGTCAGCATGCAGTGAGGGTGGGGCAGGGAGGAAGGGGTGGAGTGCAGTGCATCACAGAGCTTTAGCCTAAGCCATGGTCTTCGAAGAATCCTTGAGGTGTTTCCTCCTGATGGACAGAGCAAAGAAAAAAAAACAAGACCGATGGATGATGGCAGATTTTAAAGCTAATTTTTAAGTGAAGAGTGGTCAGCTGCACTATCATTTCTCTCAAAGGTGGGCAATCAATTAAAGAGCATAGCACAACACAAACAGTTTTTACATAGCGCAAGACACTACAAGTTAGCAACATAAATAATATTTGCATCTATGTCATGACAATGGGAGAAGAGTATGTGCAAATATTCCTCGGAGCATTTTTTTTTAGACAAACAAAGGAGCAGAAAAGACTTGTTTCCGTGGGAAACAGATGCTGGTCATGGTGACAGTAGATTATTGAAAGAAATTAAATGCAAATGAGAGAAGAGATAGAACTCAAGTCTGGGTGAGATTACAAACCAATGACAACCTGAAACAAATAGGGGTTAGACTCTGCTCTTCAAGATGTTATCGTAAATAATATTGCGTAGCAACTACTTGAGGTCTTGCTAAAATAATGTGTCACTAATAATGGGCAACTTTCTAGGAGCATTAAAAGCAAAACAAAATAAATAGCCCGTGATTAGCCAATAATGTATTATGTCAAAACAGAATTCATTTTTTAACAGTTTCCTGACCAAAAAAATTGAAAATAATAGTTTTAACTTTTCCAGTTGAAGGGTTGAAAATAGCAACAACCTGGTTGGTACAAATACAAGCGCACTTATTTCTGCTCCTGTGAATACAGGGAAAACAAGACTTCATGGGTCAGTTTGTGAAATAAATCATTGATTGTTAGAGCGAAAGATGGGACAAGAAGTTGAATGAGCTAGAAGAAAATAGCTCAGAACAGTGGTGAATGGGAATATGTGAATGGCCTATGAACCACTAGGAGAATATAAGGCAAAGAAGAAGAAAAATAATTTATTGACATCAGAGTGGGACAATGCAATCCTATCAATTTTTCGTTAATGAGGGAAATATTGCTTGCAAATTTTTAAAGCACGTCACAAAATAAGTAAAGCTGGTCCTGTTTATTCAATACTCAGCCAATGTGTGGCTTGGAGTGTCATCTGTAGTGTAACATCTGATGTTCACTAGAAACATATATAAACTATAACCAAAAAAAAAAAAAACGAGATCTGGCTTCATGTAATATTAAAGTTTTAAATGAGATAACCAACAGTCTATATAATGAGAAATGCACAGGCAGTAGTAGAAAACAAAACATCATGCATATTGCATAATCTGAAAATATAGTTTTGATGTCTTGTCGAAATATATCTACTCTCTCTGTTTCTCTCTCTCTCTCTATATATATATATAGTTGCAATATGTAACAGAAGTATAAAACAAAAAACTGAAAAATAATGCACCTTTAAAAATAACTTTATTTGAATGAGTTATTTAAGTTTATGGATCTTGGAATTAGCGTTTCATTTCAATTCTTTTTGGCTATTGTTAATCAGTTTCAAATGTAGATAATTTTTTTAAGTGTTCACAATACACCAGCATAAATGAGTTGGTAATATCATTTCCATTTTTGCATTTTAACACAAACAACTTCTACAAAAACAGAGAGAACATAAACACAATCATTGTACTGATGAAGAAGAAATATGGGAGAGAATCGCTGAGGATTAGTTCAGGAGAGGCGGTTGACTAGGATATGCAGAGGATGGACCACAACTCCCAGTCTGAATTTTAAAAAATGTTAATTAATTGTCCAAAGTAACTTTACAAGTGATTTTAAATTGGCATGCTTGAATAATTGAATAAACCTTGGTTTATTTTTGGGAATCCACTATATATATTAGCTTTCCTCCCATTTCAACCTATGTTACTTTTAACATCCACTATATATATATTAGCTTTCCCCAAGTTCAACCTCTGTTACTTTTAATAATCTACGCAGTTCAACCCCTATGATACTTCTGTTGATCCACACCTAGGCCTTTCCAAGAATTTAACAGCAAACCAACAAAATATGCAAACAGGTGAAAAAACATGAGCCAGTAGATTATATTTTTACTAAATAACAGAATATTGCTAACAACAGTATGACACATGAATGCTAAAAGGTTTTTAGCATCAGATTACACAGTATTTGTTCATTTTAATTTCCTTTGCACCTTTTGTATAAACACAGTTTTATTATATATTTATGTCTGCCTAAATGATACTACATATTATATTATACGCTCTACTTTTTTCACCTCTCTGAGGCATTTCTGTGGCACACCGTCTGCGGAGCTCTGGTCTACATATTATCTAAATAGATGTTCTGTCAATGAAAGTACTTAAGACTGGCAACTACTTTAGATCAATGCTTGGCAAGCTTGTGATGACTTTGGTAAACAGATTGCTATTAAAGTCTACAGCACCAAAGAAACCTGCCTTGGAATAGTGAATCTAAACAAAGCAACACACTGAGACAGGAAGTGAATATAGACCATCTTAGATACAGACACTGCATTGAGAGACATTTGAACAGCAAATAAGAGATGATTATAATGGTCTTTGTATTATCATTTCCAAAGCCCAATTTCTAAAACATAAATGTTTTAATAATTGTAAAGCGCTTAGAGCTTTATGATAAGCGCTATATAAAAATGCCTAAATAAATAAATAAATAAATAAATAAATGCTGAATTTTCTAAAATGAAGTTTCTTCCAACATCTGATAGTTGTTTTTTCACAAAATAGTGACATAGTTAATGGTCAAACCAGAAATAAAAATAACAGCCACTAACTTACTATAATTCTGATCTTCTACTTACACACAGTATCATAAATAGAAACAACCAATTATTTTATTCAACCACCAAAACAGACCATAAAAACAAACAACTAAAGGTAGACGATTAGTTATTTTGATTTTTGACTACCTCCCTCGTTGCCTATTATTGATGGCTAATATTAATTCATGGAATGGATAAAAGATAGCGCTGCAATTTTCTACTTTACATGCCTTAACTCTTATTTACAAGACAGACACACAAATAATGAAATGAAGATTTTCTCTTTAGAATCCTACCATGTACCCTTCAACAGGTAACTTAGTTGTTCAAGTAACAATACAATCCTATCGTTTATTATTGTCTTTTTACAAAATCTTTTATGTCCTTCATTCATGGCTTTCACGTTTATTAAAATTTTGGTTAATATTTTGATATGTTGCAGGCAGTATTGATATATTCATGCATGATGCTTGCAATAATAGTATAAATATACAGAGTTAAATAGATAGATATGGGTGTAATTTTTTTTTGTCCACTGTCCATATCAGAACATGCATAATAAGTCAACAGTTAAATTATAGGGTGAAGGCAAAAATATATCCGTACTGCCAAACCAAAGAGAAATAAAAGAAAATGAGCCGAGCATGTGGCGGGCAGCTGAAAAAGAAGCTATACCTGACCTTTGGCATAGAAGAGAGGGAATGGGAGGTAACCAAGTCTAGTACAGACCCAAATCTTTCAGTGCATTTTCAACAGCTTCATCCTTGGGAATAAATAAGTAATAGGCAAACAAGAGACACTCATTCAACACCAAGTCTGCTTTCTCAGCATTCAATCTCTGGTGAGTATCACAGCTTCATGAGGAAAGACCTTCCAAATATTTACCAAACAATCTCATTCTTGGGGTCATGCCATGGTTCACATTCATCCATCATGAAACTGCACACACTCATCTGTCATGCCATCATTCACATTCATCTGTCATGAAATGGCACACATCATATGTCATAAAATGGTACATATTCATCTATCATTAAGTATCACAAGTCCGTCCATCTTCTTTCTCCAAATAAACTAACAACCACTCTGACAGCTTCAATATTATAATGGAAATTCAAATGCAGAATGCTGAACTGTCACCAGTTTATACCAAAAAAAAAAATAATAATATATATATATATATATATATATATAAATATTGCAACCTCTCACCAGTTAATATTATTTGATATAATTGTGATCCACATTCATGGCGTTAATCTCAACATGAGCCTTTTCAGTATATTTAGATACAGAAAACCAATTGCCCATAGAAAAGATTAAAAAAAAACAAGATAGTATTTTGAAAACATGTTTTTAGAACACATGCCCATAAGACCATTTAAGAAAGACATCAAAGCATAAAACAAGAGTTAGGACAACGTGTGTGACGACGGGGATAACCCAGAGTGAATCAGGCAAACACACACTATAATAAGGTACTAGTTGTGAGTGATATCAAGAGTGGGCAAAAAGAGCTCACTTTTGCTGTGTTTTGTTTAGAACAACCCGTATTCTACTAGAACATCTTGAAGAGCATCATCCTTCAGAGTCAAACAAAAAGAAACATCAGACAGAAACAAATGATGATGGGGATTGGTTGACCAAGTTCTGAACCAAATTATTGACTTTTACTTACACTACATAGGATTAATTGGGGGGGAAGAAAACCAAAAAAAACTTTCTAATGCTACTACCACTTGTCTCTTGTTTTAAATGTTATCATCTCATGTGTAAACACAATTGTATCTTAAATTTCACTATATCATTAGGGCAATCAAACTTTTTAGAGTAGTTCCAACATTAAATTTTTCCAAGATTTACTGGTGCCTTTTATTCTAATACAACAAAAACTCTAAATTTATTATGAGTGGAAATAGAAAAACAAGTTTCCAAAAGGGATGTTGGCAGGTCATTTGAGAACTCGGAATATGTGACGCAATGATACACTTAGACTTATAGTATTGATAACAATTGTATGATAATTGCATAACAGAAGAATAAATGCATAAAACAACAATTATTTCAAAATGACTCCACCAATGTTGTTATTCTTGAATGAGTTCTCTGTTAGTGATGAGATTGTCATGAAATAAGGTTAATGCCTAGGTATGTGTTAGTATGACAAACCAAAACCAAGCCAGGGTTTCCTGTGAATCTGAGTTAGATGTGCACATCACCACATAGCCTACTTTTCATTCTTGTTACAATACAGACAATGTGAGAGGAAGAAGATGGGAATGTACAGAGAGATGGGAAGGAACATAGAGATGTGAGGGAGGAGAGATTGGGACACAGTGATGTTAGGGAGGACAGATTGGGACAGAGTGATGTTAGGGAGGAGAGATTGGGACAGAGTGATGTTAGGGAGGAGAGATTGGGACACTGATGTTAGGGAGGAGAGATTGGGACAGAGTGATTGTTAGGGAGGAGAGATTGGGACAGAGTGATGTTAGGGAGGAGAGATTGGGAAAGAGTGATGTTAGGGGAGAAAGGTAGAGACTTTGATGCTCTCTCGTGTTATAGGGAATTACCAGTGCCAATTTTTTTTTCTTTTAAATTTAATTTCTTGTTTAACTTTCATTTGAAAATTTCTACCAAGTCTGGAATATGATATGCAAATGGCCTCATTTTTTTCCTAAGAATTCACAATCAGGAAATTTCATTGATCCAATTGGCACTATTACATGTTAACCCTTGCACTGATGATTCACCTTGAAATGTTTATTGTGAGATGGAGTTGTGTCCCCCCTCAAGAACAGCCAAATCTGACAACAGCTCATAAACAAGATTTTACAATCAGATCTGAGTAAATAATAATATATTGATGGTGCATCTTCATAGAAATGGTGCCTCTTAATAGTTCCCAATAAAGAGTTTAAAAGCAATTCTCCTGCAGCTTAAGTCCTGTTGAAATGGTTAAATAAGTATCAAGTTTGTTGTGATTCATACCTGACTGTTAGTAATTTGCACAAATTAATTTTACCTCCTATTTTAGTACCGGGTACTATTAGAAAATCTTTGAATTAAAGTTATCAAACCATTTAGATCCTCAAACTGAAGTACTGCAATGTCAAAACACAACATTGAGCTCAATTTTGAAAGCTTTATTGTTCCTTCAAAATATGAGAACAACCAATGACTGGTGCTCTTGATTAATAATCCACAAATCGCGTGTGTGCCACTAATAAGTTTATGGGTTTTCTTCCTGCTCTTTATGTTTCACAATGAAACTCCAAACCACAGAAAAGCATAACCTGATGATGCTTAAAATTTGTCTGAATAAAAGAATGACCCCCCCAAGGAAAAGTGTTTCCACTAACAGGACTGCTGTTTTAATAGTGCAGAGGACATTCTCAGAGAAGCAAAAGTTTTCTTGAATAATCATAAATTCTGCACAAAGGCCTTTCAAAAAAAAAAAACAACAACTAAGAAAAATAAATCTGGTATAATGTAAACATCTTTTTCAGGAAAACAACTTACTCTTTAGAGAGTGTAACCATTATATTCTATCTGTTGAAAAATCAATAAGCCAAAGCAAAACAAATCCAATTAAGAAATATAATTATATATATAGGCACATGGTTATCTGTAAACTAAAACTTAAAATACTCAATTGTTTTCATCCATATTCTTATTTGCCTGATAAGCACGGGCTTAAACTGAAAGTGAAATGTTAATTTTTAAGTAAAATATACAACATTTCATCTCTAAAACACAGTAATAAACAGAAGAATATAATCAAATATACTAAAAATCAATTTTTTTTTATTACAGAGATAACTAAGTGACCCAATTACATCTAAACTTTAAAAAAAAGGCAATTCCAAACTAGAAAAGTTGCCGATATAAAAAGAGGCTCCATTACCTGTGATTGGCCCAAATACACTTAAATTCAGTATCCATATTATGAACTAAAAATAAATATATTTTTAAAAAAGGGGAGGAAGTAGAAACATATTGAGTGTGTCAAATTTGGCAAGTTCTCAAGTGTTACCTCATGATCATGCTTGTGTGACGGATTAAATGTGTTACCCACCTCTTGCAACAAATCCTGGGCAGCAATTGCTTTGAGAACATTCTTTTTGCTGGTTTCTTGCACTTCCCCGCCTAGCAGGAACTCATCAAGCATAAAGTAGGCCTTTTCAAAGTTGAATATGATGTCTAGTTCACACACCTGAAAGAGCATCTCTTTTAAAGCCTACTTTTGAAAACAGCAAATGTATGCTATACAGCGTCATTATTTTTTTCGATCTAATTCAGTAATTTTATTTAAGTCAATCCTAGTTCTGTATAAACAGAAGGTATTTTCAATCTATTTTTGTTTTAATAGAGGGTATATACCATCTAGTTCTGTACTAACAGGTGTATTCATTAGGTTACATTCACCAAATGTATAACTATATTAGTCCCTTGACATATAAGGAATAATTTAGACAAATTTTTAGAATAGCTAATGATATTCTAGCTATTGCTTTAAAAGCTCCTCCTACTCACACTGCCAAAATATTTGTCCAACAATTCAACATAACGGTGAATGATTTCTAGAGTGAGCAACTCATTGTCATCATTTTCTATTGCACAACAGAAATACAGACTGGCATATCTGTGGATACAAAAAAATATTGAAAATCCATTTATGTTTTTACAAAAGGGCCACTAAATAAGCTTCCAATAGTATAAAATATGTACAAACTAAAGATATTTCAAAACAATAATTACCTTCCTTAAATGATTCAATTGTAACAAAATTTCTCAAATCTTACCTCTTATAAACAATTTTGAGATCCTTCCACTCCAAAAAACTACACATTTTTGGTTTGCGCGCCAAAACAAGTGTGATTAGCTCCCTTGTAATCTTCTTCTTTGTTCTGTCTTGGTATGCCACAAACCATTTTTGCAACCTCAATTTCCCTTGCCTGCTGAATAACAGCATAAACTGCATCTGTTGACAAAAAGACACTGATGTAAGCCATCTATCTTATCACAGGTGTACTGAACACCTCCGTAATATTACGCAAGATAAACAGTGTCCTGTTTCCAAACACTTCAATAGAAGTGACCACCAGGGCAAGACAAACTTTTCAATATGTGCTATTGGGGATAGCACAAACACACCCAGCCGGGTGAATTTGGAACACAAGCTTATCCTGACCTATGGCACATTTACACATGGTATGTACGTCGTGTCTCTATTTACAGCTTGAGCCTAGCTCTACCCCTCCACGTCACGACCTAATCGCATTAGACTAAGTTCTCCTCTATTCTTTCCGTCCTCCCTATTTTATATCTCTCCCACTTACTTTCTGTCACAATTAATTTTATGCCCTCTCGGATACTTCTTCTCAGCTACGTGCTATTTTTTAATTTTATTCTGTTTTTTCTTGTTTGTTCGCTGACGAAGGCTTCCTGCCGATACGTTTGTTGTTTTGATGCGTTCCTTTTTTCAGGTTTAACCTTACTTTGTTACTCACTTCCTATTGTGCTAACCTGATTGCAGTCTCCCCCCTATTACCCTTTCTTATCATTGTTTTATTTCATAATAATGTTGGTAAATAAATGCCACATTAACAGAAACAGTTGAGGCAACACTTGACACATTTGCGTCAATTGCCTCAGGCCTTCCAACCTCCAGTGCATGATACCCTCAAAAAGTAGCCCTTGCAACCAATGAAATATCCTCATCAACATCTGGCACAAAAACATTGCAAATTCCCTCTACATGCATAAAAGCCAAAATGATCAATAAATTGATCATGGGCCCTTAATATTTGGCAGTGTATTTATTTATACATATTTTACAACATAAAACAACACAACAAATTAAATTTCTCTAGTTTAAGATTTAAATTGAGGATATTTGTCTGTTGTCCCAGCCATTTTTGAAACCTCCTTCTTATCTTATAAGTGAAAATGCGTTTGGCTTTAGAAATGGGACATTTAGGCATCCCAAGAGACTTTTTAGGGACACTGAGTAGGTCAGTGAAAAAACGGGACAATCCAGTTTTTACGGGACGTTTGGTCACCCTAGACTAGAGTCACCAGACACTCACTCTCTTCATTTCATTTAATTTTTGGCTTTATATTACTACATTTTACATCCATGGAACATTAGTGTTATCGGAATTGAACTTGCTTACTGGCGTTTTTATTTAGGCCTATTTAGCTATGCCTTTCACTGTTCACTTTTTCCAAGTGAAAGTGACATCCTCTCTTGCCCAGCCCGACTTAATACTTCTGCTGTTTTAGTATCTTTTTATTCTTTACTTTACAGCACAGACTTTTTTTACTTAAAGTTGTCTTAAGTTTAACTATTAACTAGGTACTAATCAGTATGATTCAATGATTAGGAATTCATTGTCATTATTATGTAGTAAATAATAATTACTTAGTATTTATAATGATAACTTGCAAAAACTCGAATATTTGAGTTCATACTCACCATTTTTATATACTTAAGTTGAAATGGTAAAGAAAAGAAAACATCAGCTGAGGGCACAAGTGAAAATCTCAAATTCGAAAAACTTTTATCATTTTAAAAAAATTACGTCACACATAAAATATTCCTAGCAGCAGTGTCAGAAGGTTACTCTAATTGCCAATGAAAAGCAACATTCGTGTCAAACTCAATGCCAATGCACTTTATTTCAGAAGTGGGGGAGTCATATGATAATATTTGAAGAAAAATATTGTTTAAAAATAATAGTCATTTGTTTATTTTAAATAATTTTATTTAAATAAATTTGCAATTATTTAAAAGATATATTTTTGGGTGACGTTAAAATATTATAAAATATACAGGTATGATGAATATTTAAGATGTTTCGGTATTTATAATGAAAAATTGTGGGCAGGCCGGAAATGTCTTTTTCTCTCATCGTCAAAGAAATTCGGAGACTTCCGAGTTGTGTATTAACCGAAAAAATAGTTTTATTTTAAGTGCAGTTCGTCAGTAGAAATGGACTATGACCACATATTAATCGTATTTGCTAATATTTTAAATACACATGTATTGTCACAACATAACAAATTCTTTTGAAAAGCAACAAACTTTTGTCTAGGCATATCATTATCTAGTGTTAGTGATGCCTGGGGTGTGCCAAGTTTTTTTTGCCGGCATTTAGCCAAAAATATCACCCCTCAATATAAGGTCACTAAGGAAAGAAATGCCGCCTGGGGCGAACCGCCCCTCCTGACCCCCTTCTTACGCCACTGCATGTAACATGTTTTCAGTTTTAGTAACGAACACTATTATCTTTTTTAAATTCAATGTCAGGGGTGATAAAATATAACATCACAGATTAATTTTAAGTATCACTTGATGTTATGACATTACATATTGACATACTAAATTGTGTAATTTGTGTGAATTCAAACAATGTAATAGTGCTAGATCTAACCCTCTTATATTTTTATTTCATTCGTCAGCAAGCTGTCATTGTTTGTGTCACCTATCTCTTTTTAATTGAAAGTGGGAAGTCTTACAGGGAGATTATATGAAGTGTGAGCGACTTTTTAAAGTTGTCCCCATTATAGATAACTTACACAGCAAACTAAATTGTATCGCTGTATATTAAATAGCCTATTAATTAAATATATCATATTGTTTATAATGTAGGCATATTAATTAATGTGTAATATGTGGTCATATTAATTAACATATTGTTCTATATTATGTAGGCCTACTATAAATTAGTATATTGTTGTATATTAATATTATGTGGGGGTACTAATTATCTGTCTAAAATTTTCAGTGAATGCTCTTTTTTATTGCATTTTTGTTAGTTATAAAAAGAGAATTGCTAAGAGTTAAGGTTGTTAACATTTACTCAAATTTGACTATCATTAATTGTGGGTATAAAAACTAAGTTTTCTTTTCACTTTTAAGTCTGTGTCATGAAAAACAAATTGTTTTAAGAAATACAAGAATCATAGAATGCCAAAAAACAAAATCTCAGTGGTTCTCAATTTCACTTAGGGTTCAAACTGAGAGAAAAAGCAACTCTGTCTGCTCACCATATTGTGTGAAATAAATAAGTTCCACTGTCCAATTTCGTAACATTTTTTTTTTTTTCACATGAAAAAATTAAAATTAAATAAACAAAGCAATAACCAGGATCCTCTGGGCGGTAAGTTAGAAGAAGAAAATCAGTCTTGTAATTTGATTATTCTTTAAGTGGTGTAAGACTAAGAGGTTTGAAATACACAACAAAATCCTCTTTAAATCTGAGAAAGATTCTCTTTATGAACAGATAAATTGGAGGTGAACAGAAGCTAAATTAAGGTGTCAAACAAAACAAATCAAAAGTAAGCTCCAGGACCGAGTTAAATTATTTCCACCAAGTTCATTATTTCCACAGGTTCTCTTAATGAGAAAAACTTGATAAGCAGATCTTGCCCTAAGGAATAATTTTATTTATTTGACATAAAGTGGGTTGAACAGAGGATAAATCAATGTGTCAAACAAAACAATTAAATTTAGCTCTATGTTAAACATTTTTCCACTGTTCATTATTTTACATGGAATTCAGACAACAAAGGATGAATCAATAAAGAGAAAAATGTATGCTTATATTAAACACAAGAAAGAAGTCCGTATGAATTGAAAGGCCATTGTTTAGCCAAACACATTTGGAAGAAATAAGTCTCGTCATTACTATGAGCGTCTGAGTACTCTGAGCTACTGAACTGGTAACGTTGGAGATATATTAAAACTATTAAATTATTGTGTGACTTGTTAAAGATAACTGTGAACAGACATATAAAATTAAAATACAACATATTTATATAACATGTATGTCTCACATGCATTTTCATGTCACTTTATTTACATGGTGGGATGGAGGTCATGAAACAATAACACTTTTAATGAGTTTTGCATGAAATAATTTCACAGTAGCATGCATGCACACTAATCAAACTCACTGAATGTTACGCATAATAATGATAACATATGGCTCAGATGTCATGTCACATACATTATAGAAATCAATTGTTCCCATGGTTCAAAGTCACTGTCATTAAGATTATATTATAATAGCACATGTGACCCACAACAAGATTTATATTTCAGAAAGCATTACAATTTTTATCAGTGTGTTCCTCCACAGAGCAATGTCATTGTTGCCAGTTCTCTAGCATATTCTTATTCTTGAGCATAGGTTTTCTAATTTTTTAACATTATACACATTATATGTTAAGAAAATTTAATTTTTCGATCATTTTAAATCTAAAAAATTAGATCTAAATGAGAGTTGATTCCTCAGTTTTCAAATGGTTCACCACAACATTAAAAAACCCATCACAAACATGTTGATTTTATTTAGAAGTTTGCTGACATCTCAAATTGGGAATTTACCCATCAAGTAATAACTTGAAAAATATAAATGAAACAATTATTACGATAAAAATATAATTTGCACACATTTACATAGATTAGTAATACTTAAATCAAAGGTTCTCAAACTCTGGAAATAATGTGCCACTTAAATAATCTGGTGCAAATTTGTGTACCACCATGAACATTTGTAATTCAAACTGAGTATTAGATTATGCATATCAATTTGCTACATTTTTGTGTACCACATGCAACAATGTTGTTTACCACAAGATGTGCATGTGTCATAAGTTGAGAATTACTGATCTAAATGACACACAAAATCAAAAGCATCACAAAAATAAATTGAAGATCAAAAAAATAAAAAATTAACATTTCCAATCATGCTATCCTGTGTTCTTTTTTTGTTGTTGTGTGTTTGTTGTGGCCTGGTGTCCATTGTTTCTTCTGTGTTTGTATTAATCGCATCATTTATTTTTGTGAATTTTTTAAAATGTCATTGACATATCTTCAGCATATTTTCGTAAACAAGCTGTTCGTGGCTTTTACACTTAAAAAAATAGTCTTTTATTTTTCAAATAAAATGACATGATGTAAACTTTTAAAAGTGAAACTATTTTAAAAAAATTAACAACAGTTTTAAGAGGAAGTCTGAGCACATAAAAATAATTTTAAAATGGAGCAATTCAATTTTATTGGTGTTTAAAAATCTAAGACATATAATTAACAAAGCCTTCACATGGCTAAATTTGTTTCTGTTTAAACAGCCAACCATTTTGAAATTTCCAAAAAGGCACACATTTCAGGGCTATGTATCTCCCTCATAATTGAAAGTCTCTACACAGTCCGGTAGTCTTATTTGATGAGGACTGAATACATTTTTGTAAATATTACAAAAAACAAATAAATAATCTTTGCAATAAATCTTATTTTGCTTTAAATTAATTAAAAATGTTTATTAGTTTTCTGAAGACCATGCATCTGTCTACGCCTTGTGTATAAATAGACGCATGCGTCTGTCTCAGTCTTGCGTATAGATAGATCAGAACAAAGCTTTCAGTTGATGCACCACAATCGCTTTGCGGGGAGGGGGGGGGGTGGAGAGAGAATTCAAATTAATAATGATACCAATGGAGGACTGTCAAAAAATGTTTTCAGTGATAAATTGAAAGGTCACTTCATATTTATTTGAAGATATTTTTATTTGCATGTGATGATGATATGGTCACTATATAAATAGTAAGCCATACAATTTTTAAAGTGTTTTATCATCGGAAAATTATTGCCTATAGCTTAGATGAAAGGTTACCCATTAATAAGAATTTAAAAATCATTTCACATCTAGCTCTTTGTTCTGGCCATGCCATTCAGTGACAGAAAATTTTAGCATGTAACAATCGGTAAAAAACTTTTCCATGTTAATATTTTGTCTAAAGTGAATACAGCTATACTCAACAGTATTTATCAATTTATCTATCACATGACAACAATTCCCGGTGCAATACTGACTTCTAAGACTATGAAACCAGTGAGGACAACATATTATTATGTCAATTCGCCCTCACTGCATACTTCAAGAAAAAGATGCCCCTGTCAATTCTTAGGAAACTTTATTTCCTAATATTCAAACTAAATCCCCTGGTCCATGTTTCAATAAATTCACAAGTTATTATGCTCTTCTTTTTTTAAATATTTTTTTATTGATGAAGTGAACATAGTGAGACAAGATTACTAAACGAAGCTCAAAGCATTTCTAAATATCTCTAATTTCATGAAGTAGTACCTACATAATTGATTGCAGCTATTCAAATTTTCATCCTGACAAACCAACTTCAACAAGAGTTATAATTAAATGTAGAGCAAAACATATGAATAAAATATGAAACATACAATGAAATTCAATGATCATACTGAAAGCCCATAAACATGACAAAATGTGTTTTAAAAAAAATATTGATACCATAAAATAATTGTTTAATTAGCACAGCTGACACAAAAACTTCTCTCAATATACAATCTCTGTGATAACAAGTTTTAGAGATAGAGATCAGGTACTTGTGTAATTTTTTTTTTACTTATTTAAAGAATTTAACATTCAGGAAGCAGAAATGACAAATTGTTAGTATAAATTTAAAAAAATAATTGATGTTCATGTGAATACATCTTGATATAAATAAGAAAGATTCCCCATAAATCTCGATGTTTTTCAGGCTAGATTGTTCTTAAACATAGAAATAAAATAAAAGTTTATGAAAAACAGTTCCCTATCCATAAATTCAATAAAAAAAATAAAATTATATTCTGTTCATTATTGATGTATGTTGGATACAAGATGTCAGCTGATAACACTAGAAGTTGCTGACAGTACAGAAAAGTAACTTTGATCACCAATATTTGTGTGTCGAACAAATACTTTAAGTTCCCGCAGGCTGTACTTGACATCATTTGAATAGGGCAGGAAGGGGCATTAGTCCCCCCACCCCCACTTGAATTTGCAAGATTTTTTTTCCACACTAGGTATCAGTATCTAGGACAGCAGAAAATCAAACGTAGCAGAAAATAAATAAAAAAATAATTATTTGTTCATTTCATTTAAAATTAAGAATAGAAAGCTTCAATCATAATGTGGCAATTCTTATTTAAATTTCTATGTACTGTGTCACCTCCAGCAATAAACAATTCAACAAGCCAGTCAAGCTTTCGTGCCCCCCACCACCCCGAAAAAAACCCTGAAATGACATCCCTGATACTGCTTGAGAGTAGATTAAATTTACAACAATCAGTATATTGTTATAATATTTCCATGTGAAATGGTATACATAATGGTTACTGTGTTAGAGTTTGATTGTTAGGGTAGTGAAAATAGTATTCCTGTTACTTTCTATGAATTATTAGGGGATGATACAAAAAGAATAATCGAACATTTTAAAATAAGGTGTATATTTGACTCAACGGTTGACTCAACAAATGCAACAATTGACAACAGTACAAAATGAAGTTGTCCAAAATAGCTTACAGCCACAACTATTTGTCAAAGTAGCATGTACATCTACCTCCATAGGCAACAATTAGTGTAAGACCAGACTCATGTCCCATAACTGCAAGGGAAAGAAACAAGAAATAGTAATAAAGATCCAATTTTACTAGTAACAAATAAAAATACAGCTCACTTGTGCATAAAACTAAGAGAGTAACATCATGGTTGATGCTTTAGTGCAATGGTTCCCAACATTTTTTTACTTTTGGAGCCTTTTTAAAAAATAAATCTCTATGGGGTAGCTTTGGGCCTACCCTATGTCTTACACGTTTATAGGAGTTTACTGGAGTGGCAGCGGAACCCCTGAGAAGTTTACGGCGTTTGGGAACAACTGCTTTAGGGGAATTAATAGCTTATGTTAAATAAGCTTTTTTAAAAACAATTATGAGAATTAACCTTTAAGAATCATGTCAGCATAATAATATTGATATTTTAACGTTGTTCATAGCATCGTAAAAGTCAAAACAAAATATAGAAACATGCAAGAAGGATTGCAAATTATTTTCTTCCTAAAAATTGTAGAAAGAGAAAAAAATCTTACTTTCATAACTCTATCCTTTCCAGTTGTCAGAAGAATCTTCCGGGACGCATCCAGGTCCATGTGCACAATGCTGTGCTTCAAGTCATGAAATGTTGCATGTGGGGCTTTCCTGGGGAGAACATGTTTCATATGTTAATTATCAACTACACTTTTGACTGTAAGATTATGATTGAGGCAGTAACTCCAGACCTGTAAGATTAAATGGGTCAGTAAAAACAGGATTACAAGATTGACCTTGAGTTCTAAACTAGTTGGGCAGATGTTTGAATGGGTCCACGTTACATGAAACCCAAGGTAACAAAAAATATAGTCGGCTAATAAATTTTGTTAATGCACAAAGACATCAATGCATTTGATGCATGGATTCATGGAAGCTCAAAATTTTAATGGCTGCTCTACTGTTAGATTGTAAAGATAGCTACAAAGAAATAAAAACTTAATTCAACATGAGAAAACAAAGAGATGCACTTACTCTTCTGGTGTAATAGATTGAAAACATTCATCACAGACTCGCACTTCATATTCGTAGCCCATCAGCGGGATGGTTGACATCTGATTGCAGCAAGCCTGACACAAGGCCTTCCCACAGTTACGACAATGATGCTAGGAAGGCAATGGACAGAATGAGTTGGGAATATAACATATACATCATTAAAAACAGGCATGATGCTTTTACATGGTGACCCAAGCGGTCAAGGAAAGTTTTATAAACATAATCCAACAGTTTTTTTACAAATGAGAATCTCCTTCAATGATAAAATTCTCACAAAGTCAAATAAACAAGATAAAGATTTTACACACACACCAACATTAAAGTAATTTGACTCTGGAGATGTTCTTTGCTATTTCATGTTGTAAAAATAAAAATCTCCAAACTTAAGATATAGCAACAAATGAATGAAATATCCACACAAAAAAAAGAAAAAAAAAAGTGAATGGTGAATGTAATCAGGAATAATCCAAAATTAAAATTGAAAAATAAATTAATTGAATTGTTTGGATAATTTAAAACACTGTGTTATTTTAAAAGGTTATATACCTGCCGCTGCCCAACTTTTCGATCTGCCCACATTTTACGAAAATTCCAGAAAAAAGGAGAATCACACTTCTGGCAAACATCACTCTCTGCCCAATCTGGTGTCTGCAAAAATAATTTAACAACATTTAAAATTAAAACAGAAGTCTTGCCTCTTTGCGGCCTTCCAGATGACCACAATGCATTCTAAGTATTATTGCTTTATTATTATAAATAATGTTTGTCCTCCGCAAGCAAAGTTGATAAAGGCAATTTTTGACTTGAGTAGCAGCATTGACTTGAGCTGTAAAAAGTTTACAGTGAGGGAGAGTTGCTCAATTCGTCGGCCTCACTCTCTCGTCCGTGCCTAATTGGTCCAGTGGCAAGACTTATTCAAGATGATTGGAAATAGACCAGGATGCAAGAGATGACCAGAAGTGTGTCTTGAGCGTTTCACTGTGCTCTTTATGCACTCTACGCAGCAGGATTTGTTGGAATTTTCATTGTGTCAATGTCATACTGACTACAGGACTCCATCCCCGGGTTTGATTTCAGAGTTTGCTTTCTCTTTGATGAGTTGCCATCCAAGTTTAACAAGTCCCATCCTCCTGAGTCCCATCTTATTAATTCTATTTGAAGAACCATTTACTGATGGAGATGTGTCACTTCGGGAGCCTATGAGGATGGACTTGCTTAAGGAATGGGGATGGGTTTAGACCCAGAATCCCCTATTGAGGGTAGGGGGAAAGCAGGTAGGATTATTCGCAATAGCCTAACGGTGTCCTCTGATCACATTTATAGACTGATATAAAAGAGTAGAGTGTCTGGTTCCCAATGATCTGATCGCATGCACCAGCATTTCTTATGGACATGAAGCAGTTGTCACCTTGGAGAGGAGCAGGATTGCAGCGAGAGAAAATATTTGGTCAACGTTCAACGAGTGATCTCAATTGGACAAGTGGAGGCTATAATAGACCCGAGGAGCCCTACACCTTTCAATATAACCTGCCCTTTAAACTAGTTTCTCATATACATAGAATAAAATTAACTATATATACAGTACAAATCATATGATAACTGTCAAGTAAAACAAATATAAAGGGTAACAATGGTAAAATGTAGCAAAAGTTAGAATATAACCAAATAATAATGCAATCTATTTTTAGTTAACTCATATATTATTATCCTATATTTTTCGTTGGTTTCAATTCTAAATGGTGGGCCTAAGCTTTGTGTCACGCACAGACAAAAGTAAAAAATAATATCATAGTAGTTTACTTCAAGTCTTTTGACCACCATATCCCAGATCCCCAGCACACAGTCATCTGATCCAGTGAGGAGTTGGCGGGACGTCTTGGAATGCACTAGACCTTGAACTTTGTCCCTATCAGATATTTAAAAAATGTTCTGTTTATTTACAAACTGGTCGAGTCTGGGAAGACAACAGAGTGGCTTTGTTCACTGAAAATGCTATTTAATTTGAATAAGATTTCAGAATTTCATTAAATTTATTTAAAAGTGGATTAGATAAAATTTTAGGGAAAAAAAAGGTTAAACTTTTACTCTTTGATACAATTTTAAAAAATTATTAACATTATTTTTTCATTTTTTATTATGATCCCCCCTCCCCTTTTAAACCACCACTTTTTCAGTTAACTCTACAGTAAAAAGCAAACTATTGATGGTATATATAGAAATTTCCTTGGACCCCTCACTATGTCATTGATCTGATCAACTCATTTTTAAGCTGTCAATCCAGCTTAAACTTACTTGTGTCCTTGAAGTTCAAAAGCTGTTCCCTTCCTGCCCCCAATGTCCCAGACTATGACAGACTGGTCGAAGCTTCCACTGAATAAAAGTTGGTTGTCAGCATCCCAGGACAAACAACGAATGCTCCCTGTTGAAAAAAAAAACAACAACATATTTCTCAAGTATTAAATTAGGTTTTTAATTAATTGCCCAAGTGTGACAACTCAACCAGCCACTTGCTGTAGACATGTAACCAATAACTACTGTACATATTTGGCTAAATCTAGACAGATCCAGGGTAAGATGATAACCATGGTGACTACAGGACACAGCCCACTACACCTTAAAATACCCCGTCCTTGTTTTAATTTTGATTGGTGAGATCTCAATCCTATGCCACAATTTTGTACAGGAGGTAAAAGAATGACATTGATTTCTTAACACCACCTGTCCAGCCAGTCAAGCGTTTCATTTGAAGAGAAAAATTGCAAGACAAGCACATGCAGCTTGTTGATGAGTCTTGCAGGGTGGGCGGCCAGCATGAAAACTACCATTAGACAGTTACTGATTTTATTTCTTCATTTTTTTTGTTAATGGCTATAGCATTAACATTTCAATCATGATATATAGTGAATATTAAAAGTAAAAATATATCATTGGCAGAGTGATCAGGATGAAGATCTAGGTCTAGGTCATATTTTTTATATTCTAATGAATAAGGATTTATTTATGACATAGTAAATACACAGACAGGTGTTGATGTTTTAAAGGTGTATTTATTTTTTTTGATTGTTGTGAATCACAAAAGATATTTCAAGTGAGACACAGTTTGGGGAGCCGCTTGTACATGGAAACCGTATTTGTTCACACCTGACTTTTGAGCTAAGAAATGTGAATCAAAACTTATGTGCGATTACACTTATATAGTGGAAATTTCAATTCCTAATTTTTTAGAGTGGTGAGCAGCATTAGGCTGCTCGAGCAATGTTTAAAGATGACTCATTTTGACAACTGCTACATAAGCAAATTCAAGTGTCTCTCAACTACATACCATAGAGATCATTAACACTAGACACCACACATGTGTATCAGGAGTCAAGAATTTTTATTCATCTTTAGATTAGCACTAGTTTTAACAAAATACTTGAATCACATAGGGCCAAGGTTTGCTGACTATAGTAGGGTTAAATAACATACTGAAACATTTCAATGCTACAGAATAATTTCATCTTTACAAGCGAGATGACATTAATTAGCTGATTGCTTTAGAGGTTACCCCAAGAGAAAATTTGCAGCAAGTTAGTTCATTTTAAAATTAATACTTTCTGTTCTGTATTAACAAAATCTACATACTCATCAGATATTTGCTGTGATAAAGACAAACTAGGGCTTATAATAATTTTTTTTAAAGTTACCTTGAAAATTAACAGATTTTTTTATCAGATATGAATTATAAAGTTTTCACTTATAACAAAATCTTGAGTATCTGCCTGAGGAGCTGCAGTGTTACCTCATTAACTAGAGCCTTTCTCATTTGATAAAATAAAAAAGGAAAAAAGAAGTTAAAGCCCCTTTTTAAGACAACTGGATTTAAATGCACAACACCTTAAAGCCATGCACTTATATTCGGTGGAGGTCATCAGTCATTTAATTTAGAGCAGCTGAACTTTGGACTAGAAAAGAAAAAAATGATTATCAGAAGCTAGGGACTTTAAACCAATTTAAAAAACCGCACACTATTTTGTTGATGAAATGTTCATCAGATGAATATGCCAATTTAAATAAATGTTCAATTCTTTGTTGATGAAACGTTGATCAGTTAAATATCATCTCAAGGGTTTAAAAGTCTGGCAATTAAAAGCCAAGGAATGAGAACTCTCACAATAAACAGTCCTAGGTGTAAGTAAAATTAGCCATGTGACTCGTGGAAGCATGACTGGTTCATACATGGGTATGTGTGACACTGTACCAGATAATCATTTTAAGGCCATCTAATCAGATGTGATAAACTCTTTCAGGATAAGAGTTGAAAATGGGACTGTGCTATTTTCAGTCCAGTGATACTTGAACATAATGGTGGGACTGTGCTAGTCTCAGTCTTATGATGTTACAGTAATTCAGCCACATCCACAGTGATTAGTACGTGAATCCAGGAATCCCTTGGTTACAAAATGGTGCCTTCTCAGATGTCAATTAAAATCTATTCATCTTTGCTCTTCTGGGAAAGCATGTGACTAGAAAATGTCTCTCTGAGGTTTAATGCACATTTATATACATTAACTTTACAACAGACACATAGAAATACCATTAGGATTGGTAACTGACCAACAGGACCGCTACTAGCTAAATAATAAAAAAAATTGCTAATACAGCCCTGTCAGTACAGCCTCCTACAGCTGTGCCCTATAGATAACAAAGTACCACAATTTGTCAAGTGCCAGGCCACTACAACCATGCACACAATACATTCTAACAGGATAAACAAATTTAGGAATACAATCCTTTTTTTTTTTAAATCCTCCCTTTTCTTCTTAACAACTACAAAGAAATGGGTGATCAAGATGAATTTTTAAAATTAAAGAGACCTTGATGAACATAAAATGTCTACTTGCTTTAAATTTCGGGAATGTGACTGACATGGACCATTGTTCAAAAACTTTTTATGAATTATAAAAAAACATGATCTCAAAATGTATATGCATATCAAGCTTGACAAATATCCAGTTTCTTTAAACATTGAGAAATTAAATATTTGCTCATCATAAGTTAGCAGCCAGTTAAGAATATTGTTTTGTAACAAATAAAAGTGAGACTAAATGACCAGTTGTTCCAGGGTGCATTTAAGATTATTAGTTTAATAATATTGCATTTTTTTCTTGTTAAGCAATAATATTTTGAGCTAACTTAACTACACTGAATAGAGGTTTATAAACACAATGGTTTTGTCAACAAAAAAACAAAAAAAGCTGGAAAACAATTATATTGAAATTTCAGAATTTATAAGTACATAACTTATATAACTAAATTTTATTTAAAATAAAGTCTTCAAACAATTATTTATGATGTATTAACAAAATTTAGCTAGGCTTCACCCGAAAAATACAATAATAGCTCATAGAATTACAAAACTGATTAATGTGTAAATGTAGAGCTTGCGTGAGTTCAAACCTATAATTAAATTGGATAGAAGTGAATAAACTAAATATTTCCTGGAAATTTATGAAAGAGACATGACACTCAAGAATGCCTTCCAAAAGTGATCTGATACAACTATGATTTACCATGTGAACTTTTGAATGATATAAGGGAAAAGTGGACGAAAAGGGGTACAAAAAAGAAAAAAAAGAAGCAAAATGAGGTCATATTGCAGGAAAAAGCATGGCATGTAGTCCTTTATAAAGGGGAAACATGAAGCATTTGTGCTGAATTTCCATAGCACAGATAAATCTATTTCACTCTTAAGGACAGGCTTTTAATTTATACAATTTTAAGCATTGTTTGTAAGCTCTGATAAATCATGTCAATCTCAGGTGACTGTTTGGCCTTTTGAAGCTATAGAAATAATGTATTTATTACCGAGGCCAACCAATGAGCGAAGAGCAGAGAGTCCAGGGGATGGAAATTTGGCCAAATCTCTTCGAAAACTGAGAAAGTTCACTGCAATGAAATGTGATTATATGAGAAAATAATTTGGTTTTTGAATAGAGCAGATCCATTCATGGGCACAATCTGAGAGCAAGGACCAGAAATAACAAGGATTTTAAACTTATTGGTTTTAAACTTCAAACGCAAACTACCATTTGACTCAATGGAGTAGAGATTTTTAAAAATTATTCTTCAGATAAAAACATTCATTACATACAAATATTTTCAACTAGCTCGCCATTAAATGTTCCTTGTGACAATTTATTATTGAATGTAATTACACGCGAGAAAATAATAAAATTTGTTTGCTTTTCAAAACCAATAAAGTTATAGAATATTTACAAATGGAAATGATAGGTGGAGTGCCATAGGTAGAGAGTGGGTGTGCCACAAAATCATGTAAATGAAAAGGTCTATGCAACAGTTTGGGTTGACAGGTGAAGTGCCATAATATTGGTTTGGTGGAAAGTAGGAGTGCTGAATATTTGGTTAAATGGAGGTCAACATAATCGATTGGTTGGAGAGGTGGAGGCCCACATTACTGGTTGGTTGGTTAAATGGAGTGCCACATAATTGGTTGGGTGATAATGACAGTAACTAGTTTTCACCATACCAAGAGAGTGTTGGTAAAGTGACAATATCTCGTTAAAATCAACAGGCATCGCTTTTAATTCCTGATTCATACATGTCACCTTGACATTAGCCAACTTGCATCGCACTGAACAAAAACACACAGGAAATAAAATAGACAGGCTAGGGTAAGTACGTATGAACACACACACAATGCTTGGGTTCATAAAGAGTTATTACCATACTTAATTTTAGACAGGCTAGGGTAGGTATGTATGAACACACACACACAATGCTTGACTTAATTAAGAGTTGTTACCATACTTAATTTTAGACAGGCTAGGGTAGGTATGTATGAACACACACACACAATGCTTGGGTTAATAAAGAGTTGTTACCATACTTAATTTTAGACAGGCTAGGGTAGGTATGTATGAACACACACACAATGCTTGGGTTCATAAAGAGTTGTTACCATACTTAATTTTAGACAGGCTAGGGTAGGTATGTATGAACACACACACAATGCTTGGGTTCATAAAGAGTTGTTACCATACTTAATTTAAGCTCTTATGAAAATTATTTCCTTAAGTAAAAAATCCCCAATAAAACATATCTGCCTCTTAAATGGAAATTCAACTAAATAAAACAATGATAAACAGTAAAGTGCCGGCAAACAGCAAGGTACCAAAGTGTGGAACTATCCTAATAGATTACTGGGATAGAGCTTCATTAAAATATAATGGTATGCCATTGCTAAGTCAAAAACTAAACTGGGACTATAGGCATGTTGGACGGTTCATCAGTCAAAAAAGGTGCATATTTTTATTCAATATTTTAACCCATAGCATTTGCTTTGACAATTTAAAAATAAATAATTGATAGAGAGTACAATTTTTCCAAAATGTATTTAAGTTCTTCAAAATTGTACAAAAACATTTCTTTTTTCTTCACATCATCCTATTAACGATGAAGAAACAAAGTTTAGCCTTGAGATTTCTAAAGTCATATTTTTAAGCAAAAAACTTGCTTTTTTATAATTTAGATATGTTAGAAAAAAATTTCATGTGCAAGTTCATTTTTAAGTGGAAAATAACAACATAATTTATAATATAGACACAGTTTCTCTTCACTTTTCATTTTGAAGTCAAGTTTAAAAAAATCTAAAACCAAAAACAAAGGAGGTGAAGTTGAATTAATACGAAAAGAGCAAGAAAATGAATTTTACATAAGTAAAAATTTAAGTGATAATACAGTGCTTAAGAGAGCAGAAATGATTTGTATGTAATGAATGTCATTGGAATACAAAATTTAATATTTTGCTTTTTTTTAGATAGATAAATCCTTCTCAAAATGGCTGAACAAATCAACAAATACATGCTTTATTTGGCTTATTGGGTCAAATTGATCTTTGTGAGACATGTTTTAAGTACTCCATAGTTGTTGAGGTTATACACACAATTTCTTATACCAGCTTAACAATTATATCTATCAGCTTTTAAAGCTTATCGCTTTATTATGATTTATTATAACAACATCTCCCCCCCTCCCCCACACACACATTACATACAAAATAAAAGAAACAGAACATTTTGAACCAAATTTAAAAGCTGCCAATTTTCAAGGTCAAGAAAAAAAAAAAAAATACAGCAGATTCAGGAAGTCAACAAATCAATATTAAAGTTACTCTACGGAAACTATTGCCAAGAATTACCTGCATGTCCTTTCAATGTGACCACATGGTCAAAGGAATTATCCTTGAGCTTCAACACTGAAATCTGTCCAGAGTAATCCCCAACAAAAGCATACTTTGACTGCTCATCGAATCTAGTCTACAGTCAAGGTTTTGTTTCAATTAAATGTCAGAATGATAAATAAACTCGGTCTTGCCTGTCACATGTTTATTCATTTCCATCTTATTTGAGCCAAGAAATAATTAGTCTGCTAACCAATATAATTTTTCTTTTTAAAATAAAAACCTAAATTTTAACAATAACATGTAATTTTGTATCATAACAGAGTAAACTGTAGCACAGAATAAATTTTAATGTGAACAAAAAGTTGTCAAAATGATTATCCAGAAGGCCCAAGTCTTTGACAAGCTGAGAAATAAGTTTAAAAAAGGATACTCTAAACAGAGGCACATTGCATTTGCTTGGTAGCCACACAGTCTCCTTCCAGTCTCCGAGCAATGCCAGATGAAATACTTGTCCTTACCACAGCTGAGAACCCATTCACATGACAGGGAGAACCGGATGCCTGTCACGCGGCTTTGGTGGGCTGTGACAACATAAAATTCAGAGATTACTGGGAAACAGATAATGCATGTAGTATAACAAATTATATCTGTGGCTCAAAAAGAAATATTTGATGATTAAAAAGGAAGACTGGAAATGTGAGCAAGTTGTTATAATTATTTCTGCTTATTTGTATGAATATAAAGTAAAAGCAGGTGATTGGAAATTTTTGGAAATCATTCACTATTAATGTACAAATTTTATGTTTAAATAATATAGCAAGGTGATTATGATAGAAAACATTAAATCCCTATTGATAAGCCAAATTTACCAATAAAGTCTCTTCTGTGTATAAGTCTGTTGTAGTCCTCTGTTAATTCAAACTCCTAAACATATTATGTAAAAAAAATATTAGTAAAAAAAAGTATAGGTTCAAAGCTTTAAAAAAAATATATTATTTATATTTTAGAAGAATAATGATAAACTAAGGAAAAAAATAAAAATAAACTTCACTGCATGATATTTTCAATATTTATACAGATTGAATTTGCTTGTTGCAATAATGGGAAAGAAAAGTCTTGTTTAATATTAATGAGATAGTGATAAGAGAAAAATAATAAAAAATGTTTTTTTTAAAATTACACATCTCTTATTAATTTAACGTCCAGCCAATTTTATTGAACTGGTCTAAACTTGTTGCCTATGTTTCTTACTGTTATAGTTCCATTGTCTTGCCCAACAAAAAGTCGTCTTGTTTCTGAGTTGTAAAATACTGAAGAAGCCTCAGCTAAAAGTGAAACACACAAAAAATTTTTTTTAAATGGCTATTTAAAGAAAAATGTATGGATGTAAATTTTTAAAAGGATTTTAAATTAAATCAACAGTAATAAGTTTAAAAAATATTTAATGTAAATTTTTTAACCATCAGAACTATTGAACAGTAAGCAAGATAATTACATGGCATAGTGTGACAGATACTTGGCCAGTACTGTCCTGAGTCTCGCTTCAACCATACTCTGAGTGTCCTGAAATAATACATTAGCGCTTTAAACACAAGGAATGATCGTTGAATAAGCTATTTGACATTGTATTTTATATCTTTTCTAGGTTTATTATTAAAGTTGAGTGAAGCTGTGAAATTACACAGAAGGAATTAATCAAACAAGCAAAAACCTTCTTTTTTTTTCCAGATCTCTTTGAACAGAAGACAAGGAATAAGAGGATATTATTCTCCATTCTTCCCTCCGAATCCACACATACCCTTCTGACTTCCCTCTGATTCCATCCCCCTCCCCTGCCACAACCTATGCCACTAGACTTTAATATTTTCTCTGAATTTGTACAACATTGTCAAGCAGAGTCATGGATTTTATTCTGATACTAAACCTGAATGTTTTGAGAGTGTGTGCAATAAATTTAACAGTCTCACTATCTGTCACTAGTTATTTTAAATTAGATTCTTTAGATTAATGTCAAAATAATAGCAAAAAGGTATAAATAGTGAAAAACAAATAATAATAACTGAATAGGCTTAGAATATCTAATAATAAACATGCTTGGACTTAAATGATTAGACCTCAAATTTAAAATGACAAGGCCCTCAGCTAAGGCTAAGTCAAAATCAAAATTAGCCTATGCCTAGGCCTACTTTAAAAAAAACTGTAGAAAAACTGTTTAATTAGGTAGGCCAAATTTGTTTGTTTAAGATTTAAGTAGAACTATATACATATGGCATCTAACTTTAATCTCGATATTCAGTTCTGGTTTATAAATGAATAATTGTAAAGTAAAGTAATAAATATAAATAACTATCAGTAAAAAGTTATTTGACTTTGAGGTTACTTTTGGAACTGTAGACTGTAGACTGTATATTTTATTGTGGGCTATTAATAATTTAAGTATAATTTAGATTTTACTTTCACTTTCAGTTTCATTTTACAATAATGACAATATTCAAGATTGGATAGCTGAATAGTGTTTGAATATTTAAAATCAAATTAAAAAAAAAAATTATATTGAATTGTGAGTGTAGTGTAGGTTGTCTGAGTCTGGTACTGGTAGTTTTGTTTGAAAAATATTTTGAATGAATAAATAATAATAATAAATAATAAACGCCCATCCGCCTTTCCAAATTTAAAAAGCAACATTTATTATCAGTCTCACTGACAGTAATTATTCTCATAAGGGGCTGACTTTTTAGATTTAAATAGGAAAATAAAAAAGCTTTAGACTTTACTTTTACTTAGTTATTAATATTAATATAAATTATAATTATATTATAATAATTAATAATATAGTAAATAGTAATAGTCTAATAGTAGAATATATTTTCATTTCAAAACCATAAAATGCGATAAAAACAATTACTCACTTGTCATCACTAACACTAATTACACCATCCTCTTTTGGAATTATAATAGCTTCATTGATAGTATCTGGGCATCCTTCTATTTTATTTAACAACACTGGTTTTCTGACATTTCCTACTTTTTTTTCATCTTCCTTTATTTCAGCTGCCATCTTGGACTTGTTATTGTCACGTGATAAATAACACAACAAAGGAAAGATAACGCTGATTAGCCATTTATTTTAACACTCGGTTTCAGTACGGTCCCGCTACCTTTTTGACAAAATCATGAACTGCAAAAAAAAAAAAACGGGACACACCCAAGGCGGGTTGGGGAGGGGGTGTTAGGGTGGGGTGGGGGGATACCCTCCAGCTAAAGAGGGGGCCTCCGCCGGTTTTTTGAAATGTGCTCATTTTAACTATTTTGAGACCTAGAAATCTTCTTAAATTTACCTTCACTTTTGTAATTTAATTTAAACTCTAAAGTCTTATCATAAAGGAAAACCATACTTTTGCAATGAAATGTAGTGAATGTAGCCATCACTCAAGCTACACAGCTAGCCAAAATATTACTTGAAGTTTTAGTGATCAGTGTTTGCCACAATTAATCTTAATTACTGGTGGTCCTAGTTTAAGACCCGCCACAACTGATCTTGAGTACTGGTGGTCCTTTATTTAAGACAAGCCACACAACTGATCTTAATTACTGGTGGTCCTTGTGACCCACCACAACTGATCTCTAGTGGTAATGATCACTCTGATTGGCAACAACTGATCTCTATCCCATTAACTTTGTGTTGATCACTTTTACTGTAGGAAGCTGCCGTAAGCAAGCAACATGTCCCTTAGCTACGTCCATAGAACAAGCTTACGTCACATTACTTTTCTTTTCCTTTTTTTTAGCAATGTAATCGAAAAGATAAAGCATCGCTGAAGAGAGAGAGAGAGAGAGAGAGAGAGAGAGAGAGAGAGAGAGAGAGAGAGAGAGAGAGAGAGAGAGAGAGAGAGAGAGAGAGAGAGAGAGGGGGGGGAGAGAGAGGGAGGGAGAAAGAAGAGAGGAGAGAGAGAGAGAGAGAGGGGGGGAGAGAGAGAGGGGGGGAGAGAGAGGGGAGAGAGAGGGGGGGGTGGAGAGAGAAGGATGGAGAAAGAAGCGAGAAGAGAGAGAGAGAGAGAGGATTGGGTAGAGAGAGGGGGTGCGAGATAGGGGTTAGAGAGAGGGGGAAGGGGGAGAGGGGGAATGGAGAAAGGGGAGGGAGAGAGAGAAAGTGACAGAGATGAAGAGGGATAGAAATGGAGATCAACAGAAACACTTACATACAACCAGGAAGGGGCTGTTGTGAAAATATGATGTTGAGCGAGGGAACTCGGCGATACAGCGATAACCGTTTCATTGTACTTATCTGAGCCTGCGACTAAGTCCATTCCTTTTGTGCGCGTTGAGTTTTATCCCGTTATGGTGGATTGATAATCCGCTAGAGACATGTGTGTGTGTGTGTGGGGGGGGGGGGGGGTGGGTTGTGGGCGGGGTGGATGAGTAAAATTACATTTTGTTACACCAGCAGCAGGTCAAGATGACATTGAGGTCAATAATACCAGGATTCTCTGTTTCCTCCAATTGTAGTTTAGTTAAACCTTGCTGAGATGGCTAGATACGTTCACAACCCTTAAAATCCCCTGTGCCAGTAAGAGGAACATTCTCGATGGACCAGTAATGTTGTCGAGTGTACTGACTGAACTTAGTGCCCTAATTGAACTGTGTTGACGTCATGTCGTCTGACTGGACGCGGTGAGTTGTTTTCGTGACTGTCAAAACTTAAATGTGTGAATATTGGTTGAAGAGCTGGGGTGAGGGGCCACGTGATGTGGGGTATTTAAAGAATATAGAATTGAGAATATATATAGTTTTTAAACAGACCACAGCCTGGAGTTCATATCTTATTATTCTATTAGAGTATTTTCACAGTCATGTTAAACCTTGCTATTCTGTCTAGATTAGTTCAACCACAACATTCCAAGGCAGGCATGTTAAACCTTGCTATTCTGTCTAGATTAGTTCAACCACAACATTCCAAGGCAGGCATGTTAAACCTTGCTATTCTGTCTAGATTACTTCAACCGCAAACAAGCATCAGTCCATTTACTATGGATGCGTAGGGACCTCTCTAAATAAATCAGACCATTCTCCTAGCATCAGTCCATTTCCTATGGATGAGTAGGGACCTCTCTAAATAAATCAGACCATTCTCCTAGCATCAGTCCATTTCCTATGGATGAGTTGGGACCTCTCTAAATAAATCAGACCATTCTCCTAGCATCAGTCCATTTCCTATGGATGAGTTGGGACCTCTCTAAATAAATCAGACCATTCTCCTAGCATCAGTCCATTTCCTATGGATGAGTTGGGACCTCTCTAAATAAATCAGACCATTCTCCTAGCATCAGTCCATTTCCTATGGATGAGTTGGGACCTCTCTAAATAAATCAGACCATTCTCCTAGCATCAGTCCATTTCCTATGGATGAGTTGGGACCTCTCTAAATAAATCAGACCATTCTCCTAGCATCAGTCCATTTCCTATGGATGAGTTGGGACCTCTCTAAATAAATCAGACCATTCTCCTAGCATCAGTCCATTTCCTATGGATGAGTTGGGACCTCTCTAAATAAATCAGACCATTCTCCTAGCATCAGTCCATTTCCTATGGATGAGTTGGGACCTCTCTAAATAAATCAGACCATTCTCCTAGCATCAGTCCATTTCCTATGGATGAGTTGGGACCTCTCTAAATAAATCAGACCATTCTCCTAGCATCAGTCCATTTCCTATGGATGAGTTGGGACCTCTCTAAATAAATCAGACCATTCTCCTAGCATCAGTCCATTTCCTATGGATGAGTTGGGACCTCTCTAAATAAATCAGACCATTCTCCTAGCATCAGTCCATTTCCTATGGATGAGTAGGGACCTCTCTAAATAAATCAGACCATTCTCCTAGCATCAGTCCATTTCCTATGGATGAGTAGGGACCTCTCTAAATAAATCAGACCATTCTCCTAGCATCAGTCCATTTCTCCAGGATGATTTGGGACCTCTCTAAATAAATCAGACCATTCTCCTAGCATCAGTCCATTTCCCCAGGATGAGTTAGGAGTTGGGACCTCTCTAAATAAATCAGACCATTCTCCTAGCATCAGTCCATTTCCCCAGGATGAGTTAGGAGTTGGGACCTCTCTAAATAAATCAGACCATTCTCCTAGCATCAGTCCATTTCTCCAGGATGATTTGGGACCTCTCTAAATAAATCAGACCATTCTCCTAGCATCAGTCCATTTCCCCAGGGGCAAGGAACTCAAACATTCAGAGACAAAGTGAGCAGATAAAAACATCTGTTCAATTATTTGGTGACCGGCAGTGGCGGATCCAGCTAGACAGTGGTTGACAAATCAATGACAACGAGATTATGGAGTCAGGGGGGAGATAAATAATAGAGTGAATAGTACGAGCTAGTACCCCCATCACGTGAAATGCAATACTATGTGTTGGGTGTTGGTTGGTCCGTAAGACAGCCAGTTAGCTACGACGGGGCTAAGGTCCTGGCCCTTATTACGCTTAGCTCGGATGTTTAGGGTCATTCCAACCCCCACCCCCACTCCTGCTTATCCCCCCCCCCTTTTAGTTACTCCATAGACCAGAATTTTACAGAATGGTTAGTAAGGTAATTCCTATTAAGTGTCCCCAACACTTATAAAAAAACAAACAAAACTAACTAACAAACACGCCGATGCTATTGAGTACTTGGGCAACTTTTGTACAGCTGGTTGGAAGATTTTTAAAAGAAAATTAAGTAAGATTCTGATAAAGTGGAACAAGTGCAAAATCCACCCAGTCAAATGTTCAACTATGCGACACTTTCATGTGTATGTATTTCATAAGACATATGCACGCCATAATCAAATAATATACAATGAAAACAAAATTCAGATGGCCTTTCCATTCTGTGGAAGCGATCTTGGGACAGCGATCTTGGGACAGCGATCTTGGGACAGCGATCTTGGGACAGCGATCTTGGGACAGCGATCTTGGGACAGCGATCTTGGGACAGCGATCTTGGGACAGAGATCTTGGGACAGCGATCTTGGGACAGAGATCTTGGGACAGCGATCTTGGGACAGCGAAGCGATCTTGGGACAGCGAAGCGATCTTGGGGCAGCAATATTGGGACAGTGGACTTGGGACAGCGAAGCAATCTTGGGACAGTGATCTTGGGACTGTGGACTTGGGACAGCGAAGCAATCTTGGGACAGCGATCTTGGGACAGCGATCTTGGGACAGCGAGGCAATCTTGGGACAGTTTAGATTGATGGTCACTAAATAAATGCTCCGGAGAGACGTCACGTTGTATTAAATATTCAAAAGTCAGACGTGATCTTGGAGAGAGGTCACATTGTATTCGTTTGTTTGAGAGCAACGTGATCTCACCCTCAACTGAATGAGGTTCAGTAACCGTTCGTACTTTTCAAACTCCGTGTGCCATAACGATGATATATACGGACTGTCGCATTTTGATCCGAATCCGCATGTTAACGGGGAATGTTAAAAGGGAGTTCCACTGTATTTCAGTAATTGTTTACGTTTCTTTATGAAAGATATATTTTGATACAGATTGTTTAATGATAAGTTATGTTTAGCGCTGTCCTGTCAGGTAGATTGTTTAATGATAAGTTATGTTTAGCGCTGTCCTGTCAGGTGGATTGTTTAATGATAAGTTATGTTTAGCGCTGTCCTGTCAGGTGGATTGTTTAATGATAAGTTATGTTTAGCGCTGTCCTGTCAGGTGGATTGTTTAATGATAAGTTATGTTTAGCGCTGCCCTTTCAGGTAGATTGTTTAATGATAAGTTATGTTTAGCGCTGCCCTTTCAGGTAGATTGTTTAATGATAAGTTATGTTTAGCGCTGCCCTTTCAGGTAGATTGTTTAATGATAAGTTATGTTTAGCGCTGTCCTGTCAGGTAGATTGTTTAATGATAAGTTATGTTTAGCGCTGCCCTTTCAGGTAGATTGTTTAATGATAAGTTATGTTTAGCGCTGTCCTGTCAGGTAGATTGTTTAATGATAAGTTATGTTTAGCGCTGTCCTGTCAGGTAGATATCGAATTTAGAACAAAATCCAGGGAATACAATTCATATTCTTTTAAATAAATGGGAGATACAAGATGTGAGGTTCAAA